AGATAAGCGCTACACGATAACAATTTCGTTGTTAGCAACATCGATTTTATTCGTAAACAAACCAGCGAATAATGCGTTCCGAGTAGGCTAGGAAGTATCATAAGCCTCAATGATTTTGATGGATGCTGGAATTCATAGCAACCCAGATAGTAGGTAGTCCAGATGTTTCCCTTGGGTAGAATGCCTGGCGAACCCCGAGGGCCCATATTAAGGCCTGAGGTGTTTTTACTGGGGTCTCGCTACCCCTCTGAATAACAGAGGGATTTGAGTGTAGACCCAGCCCCACGTCAAGCTTGGACATCCTTGGCGCGGGTAAGCAGGCCCATTTTCACCTCATTAAAAAAAACAAAAGAGGTAGTCCAGATGTAGTTGCGGGGGCTTACCAGTTTTTAATGTTACAATAGCAGCGTGTAGCGGAAATCACATTACGTGACAAATGAGCACACACGAGGTGTGAATTAGTTGTATAATTTGTTGCGACATCACTACGTGATGATAACTAGATAAACAGTCCAAACATATCAAATATTTATGTTTGCACGCTGACGAGAACTCTATATATAGAGACCACTTAAAATACTTGTTTTTTCACTTAACATTCATGAATCAGTCTTATTTGATTGACAGTTGTGTCAGCGTTGGACGTTTGTGTTGATTCCAAGCAGAAATATTACTGGACATTGCTCCTTCGATCGTAGTGTGAATTACACATTAATTATAAACTATGTTTATCAATATTATAATAACGTGTGTGTACTTATGTACACGCGTTAGAAGTTATACTTCTTTGGCGTAACAAGATAAAAATCTTTTCAAAAATTGTATATAATATACATTATATATACGTAGAGTACGTTTGTAGCAAAAAGGACACTAGCAATAGAAAAAAACTAAAACGTTGACTATAGCTAACTTCAGGGTGTCGGTTTTTTGTGACGGTGTAAAAATCGCGCACGCATCGTAAAAATTTACTCTCATCATTTTTCCCTAACGCGCCAAAAGAAACTTCAAAAACCTGTTTTGCTGTTTCACGTGCTCAAGAAACAAGATTGTTTGATTCTAGAAATATTTATTTTCTCGCGAATCGATCGTTTGGTTGTAGTGTGAACTACACTTTAACTGAAAAATTATGTTAATCATTATTATTAAAAAAAAACTATTATGCTGTTACACGTATTCAAGAAACAAGATAGCAATATTGCGGGTTTCTATAAAAAAAATAGTAACTTAACGCGTTATCCCTTGTATCTAGAGCGTCTTAAGAATATTACAACTTTATAAATACCTTTATAATATCTACCGTTTATTTTAGAAATAAATAAAGGCCCTGCGGCTTTAAAGAAGCTAAGTAATACGCTTGTTTAGCTTTGGCATAGTCACAAAGTTCTTACAAATACAATTCCTTTGTAAATTTATCTTTATCCGCAGAGCATTGCATTTTCTAGGATAATTCATAAAGATATTGTTTGAAGAAAATATAGTTATAACGTTAATTGTAATCGGGATGTCTACGTTTATATAAGTTCCTTAACACGGATATTTTTGCTTCCAAATTAATTACAAAAAACCTTACGCGTCAAACGTCAAATTGTATTTTGCTACCGTTTCTTGAATACAGTCAATAAGACAGCGTGCTGACAAACTCGCGCACATCACAGTTAATACACAAAATTGTATTGTGTAAAATTACTTTGTTGAAAGGGTAAATACAGGTTGTATCTATACTTAAAGGTAATAAAATACGCAATAAAGCACACGCAATACAAAAAAACAACTAACCTACTCTCCAATTGAATTGCAATCAATGGAATGATTTCATAAACTTAAAAGGTGGAGTTGAAATATAGCTTTTTGTTAATTTAAAAATGGATGGAATGAATATATTGAAAACCTTGTCCATTCGTAGAAATATGTGCGGTGAGCCAAAGAGCGTATTGCTTACACTTATAAAATGTAATCTATGATTGAAATTCTTCTAGTCTATTTTTAGTTTATGGATAATAAAAGTTATTTTTTCAGTAACTTTTAACCATAGATAAATATTTTATATAACACATTTTGAGTGCAATAATAGTACTTAATCAGTTTTTGGTAAATAGATTCGTAACTAAAACATGTTTATCTTATTAAAACTTCGTAATAAATAGTTCTCATAATAAAGAAGAAATAATCATTTAATTTTTGCAAGCCGTTAACTAATAAAATTCTTATATCATTACTAAAAATTACTCGAAATTTATAAATTGTTCCGTTTTTTCTCCACAGCGCGTCACACTAAATATACGTGACAGTACGAGTCAATCAGACTCCATTAGTCTCGCGTGGACGGTGCTAGGGAAATTATTGATTTGTGTCTAATATCCGGCTGATTGGCGATCGACAGCCTGCGGGCGAGAGGCGTGCACGCGGTCACGAAAGTTATTACATTCGCTATATCGATGTTTTTATTTCGAGCCTTTGAAAGCTTTCTTTTAATTTTGACAAGCTGAATGCTATTATCATTTTACGAACGTTGTTATGAATTTTATATGGTACTGCTGACCCGGCAAACGTTGTTTTGCCATGTATGTATATTATTTCTAGGAAACATTTTTTTATTTCAATAATAACTACAATAAAAAATCTTAGTGGGGTGAAAATTATAGGGTTGTATGTATTTTTGTATGCTGTATCATAAAAAAATAAAAGAAAAAAAATGTTGTCTAAAAAATAAATTTAGGGGTGACCCCTTAACATTTAGGGGGATGAAAAATAGATGATGTCCGACACAAAATTTTACGGAAATTGGTCGACCATTTTGTAGGACTTTAATTACAACAACGCGACACGAGAATTATATATATTAGATATCCATAGCAAACTGTGATAACTCTCCTAAAAACGTCAGTGAGTTTTATAGGAACATGTACGAAAATCTATATTTGAGGCTATGAATCTTCTCTTCTTCAGGTCTTAGGCAAATCACTACTACACATAAGTCTTGATCTCAGCTTAAAAATCACGATAATTTGCATATTACTTATATGCAATTCACTATTTCCATAACGCCGTTATTAAATAAAGGTAAAAAACTTCAGAAATTATCTAACCTAAACTAACAGAAATTTAATACACGCGGGAATGTTTAAAATTTCAATTAAATGAATCCCTAAAGGGCAGCCTCCGAGTGGTGAGGATAAAACCTATTACGGCCCAATCTTTCTCTACATATCGATACCTACGGGAGGGTCATAACTCAATCGCAGTTCAATATCCCTCCCATAACTACGTTACATGCATCAAGCGATCATATTTAGCACTTGCGAAATTTTAAATTTCGAATCGTTACAACTTTGTTAATATTGTGTTATAGAAATTATATATAATTCTATTGGATACTTTGACTTTAAACACGTCACGTCTAACTGCACTCGTAAATAAAGTACTTCACTAGTAGTTAGTAAAAGAAGTTTAGTAGGCAATTGGACTATTTTTGTTTTTACTGAATAAGAGGTCCGCAGCCTCAAACGGCATGAAATCTTTAGATACATTAAGAAATAGCAATTATGTAATTTCATATTACTCCTAAATAATAGGCGAATCCAACAAAATGAAATCAAATAATAAATAAGTCATTTCAATAACGTATACCGAAGAGGTTAATATTTAACACATAATATCTAGTGAGACAAAAAAGGTTATATTTATTAAAAAGCGCTTGGGTACAAAATAAATAAATTACAAAACATAAGCGAAATAAACGTTATATGATATATATAGTACTCAAATGAGCGTAAAATTATGAAACTATTTGCAATTGAAATTGGCAAACATTCAAATGAATCTAAAAATAACATACACAATTTGTAAATGCGACAAATTTCCGCTATTAACTAAAACCAGCACGGAGGGAGGACCTTATTACTATTTGTAATTTTAGTGATTTTATAACTAAGCAATAAACAAAATAATCAATACAAAAAATCCTAAAACAAATACTTAACAAAACTAATTTGACTTCATTAATCGGAAATTGTAAATAGCAGCAATTATTTTTATGCATTAACGAAGTCCACCTACACATGTAATAAATCCGCAGATAAATTCCTTATAAATGCACACATTAATTAATTCAAGTATTTTATGTTAGTGGTAATGCCTTAAAACACTTTTCATTTGGCGTAAATATTTGCATAAGCATATCCCAAATTAAAATAATTACTTTTTAATTTAATCATGGTATTTTATTTCTTTGTGTGAGTTGATTGAGGGATGTCTCCTGTTAAGAGTGCTTCACCTGAACATAATAAATGTTAATCTCATTCTTAAAATTGTACCCAGCGAGTAAGGGCCTCGTAATTAGCTCTGGAATTCTAACTCAGATAGAATATTTAAAAACTCTGAGTAGCAATCTCAAAAGCAAGATCTCGCAATTCTTAATAGAACTAGATTAAAGTGAATCACGGTTTTTATTAATTTGATGAATCCCGTGAATAAATTATGAATGTATACTGAATTTGAAAACTCAAGTACGTACGCGTATTTCAATTAAAAGTAAGGTTCGTATAACGCACCTGCAGACGCAGGATACCTATAAAAAGTCCCCTAGTCATTCCAGTAAATCCTGTTTGCTGCAAAGGTTTTTAGTAACCCTATACAATTGGGAATTTCCTTTAACAATGCCAACGTATATGTTAAAAGGTAATAAGACAACACAATGTTTGCTTTACCCATAATACACTTAGCGGAAACATTAGTAGCGTGAATTTATAAAAAACCTGGAAACATTAATTCGTATTTGATGTACTATATTTGGTTTCAAGTTAAGAATTTTTGTAAAAATATAAAGATAATATCTCTTCCTAAAAATTTATCTTCACGCAATCGAATAACAACTGTAATCATTGATAACATTCACGTATATCGTAATATTGATAATAGTGATTCACCGTTCTTTAAATATTTGCAACATGTTTCATTTAAGTTATCTTCAGATCTTTGCAGGCTTTAGGTCACTAAAGTTAAAATGGTGTTATTTTTACCTCGTCTCGTTGAAGCGGCATCGGCAGCGACACATCACGATGATACACTTGGTAACTTGCACTTGTATCACTCACTGCACTTGAGTTCTCGCTACCAGCTCCCTCTATCACATTCCATGGCACATCATCATCGTAGACCGCAACGTTCATCACCTTTGTCCCAGAATGGAACCTCCAGGGTAGATCGGTCCCGCTTTGACGCGGCCTCCGCCTCTTATGCCTAACTTTATGTCTTGCATACCGCCCTACACCGTGTTCATACTCATCACCCATCATCGCATCATATAAGGATGATAAGTCAACTTTTGTTTTATGTCTTACGATTTTCGGAGCATCTGTGGCTATCGGTTCTCTAACTAACCCCTCAGCATCCCAAAGTTGTATTCTAAGGATGTTATCGTGAGAGGGAAGCGACATGTGAGCGCGGACAGTTACGAGCGCGATTACGAATAAAAATACGAGCACGCGCGCGGAGACGTCCATCGCTGACGGCGACCGGAAGACTACTGAGCGTAGCCCGTAGCCAGTGGCGGGTGATAGCCGCTTTTCCCGCGCTTTTCCGATAACAAGGCCGAAGTATTCGACATCAACGCACACCACCTCGCACAAAGATAAACGAGTTATCTGATTTGCTTGATAAGACCTATCAACGCAGTATGACGCTTGATCATTATGTAATTATGTATATGTAGAGGGAAAATCGTGAATAAATCATTTTTCATTAATTAAATCATATTATTTAATTAAATCAGAATTTATGAAACTATATGTAATTTAAGGAAAATTTTAAAATAAACCGATATATTTCTTTAAAATTTACCTTGTGTTGACTAAATAAAAAAAAATTAAATAGACAAAGCATTAAACGCAACCTTTAATCTAGTTCTGCATCAATTATTATTAAGTCTTTTAATCGATATTAATATTGAATTAAAAAGAAAATATATGTAACAAAGTGTATCAATGACGCAAATCAGGCACAGCCTCAAGTCAAAGTTGGAATATTTAATAATAAAACTTACCTTTCTCTTCCTTTTTTTGCATGCAATTTCTATAGCAATACCAAAAACATATAATAATGAAAACCTCTTAGTGATACAAATTTAATGAAGTCAATCTCAATTAATCTTAACGAAGTCAATGATCTCAATTAAAATGAAATTCTATAAATAAACAAGTATAGCAGTACGAGCCCAGGCTCTACATTTTGCTCGGGTTTTCCTACCCTACCTACCTAATAATTAATATGCTATATTAATAGCATATTAATTATTAATATATATAATATATATTGTATAATTATAGTGTTATATATAATTAAAAATTCGCCCCTGTGGCAGTGTGCAGAGAAATCCTCAGAGTAGTGAGGTCGCTCCGTGAAGACTGTGAAGTGCCCAGGAAACTTCTGAGTTTCTGGAAGGACCTAGGCTGGATTAAGCCGGGACTTAACGTACAACGAACCAAATGTGCGTCTAAGTAAGGGAACTGAGAACTACTACTACTAGGTCTGTGGAATAAATAATTTACCAATTATAATTTACTACTATTAATAATCACTTGGAAGTCTTCCACGGTCCGTTTCACAAGACATTTTCTTTTGCGAACTGGCGCAATGTAGAATCGACCCAGGGAAGACCCCATTCCCTGGAAGACCTCCAATTTTTTAAAGAAAGATTATACTCTTCCCTCAAAGGCCGGCAACGCACCCATTAAATAGGCTGCGATGACTGCTGCTTTTGGGCGTCCCGTAGGCTTGTTAGCCCTCCTATCCTATAAAAATGTCTGGTATGTAATAATTAAGACATATTTAAACCAACTTTTATGGTATGGTTGCCTGGAAATGCCTGGAATTGAATGGAAAACTTTAATTCTGAATTATTATGCAACGAAGTGTTCAAAACACCTATATGAACTCTCAATGTGTTCTAATTGTGTTAATAATAAACTAACTAACAAAGTTGTTTTGTTTCAGAAATGTTTATTTTCAGTTAAAATCGAGCGTTGGTGTTGATCTGTGTTTGTTGTTCTACATTGATTATCTAACGAAGATATGGGTCGTAAAATTGTTTTGTTTGCACAAACGCGAAACTATCTTCTATAAACAGCTACAAAGTTTAGTTATTAGCATATTATCTAATACCTAGTGTATCTGTTTACCTAGTTAGTTAGTTTAACTAGGTGGTTTGAACTTTGATGGATAGGCTTCACAATTATCTTCAAAGTTAGTCCATAAACGTACTTGTTTAGAGTTTATTTTGTCACGTTTACTTTAAAATGTTACAAGACGTTGTACAAATGTACAAATATTTAAAAACTATTTTAGCTTTTTTTTATCCATAGAGAATTATTTGTCACATTTAAAAAAATTACGTAATGCGTTGCCATTCCTAATATCTACAATATTAATTTTATCGCACTGTCGTTCCCGCCGAGTCGAGCAAAAAAGCGGCACGGCCCTACCACCCTTTTCTCAAAGCAGTTCAGACCATTTTCGACTCCTATACATGCGTTGTGGATAAAATTAGTCAATGTATTTTATTTAAAACATGAATGATTTGTAATATTGGTATGGTCAGTATAAGTGTGTTGTTAAGTTAATTCATAAAGTTATAATAAAGATACCTACGTAATAACTTAAAACAGAAGGTCAGTAGGCACTGAAAAAATTCACCGACTTGGTATTACATAGATGTCACACCTTTTTACTTGTTTTTTTCTACAAGTAATAATTTTCATGGCATCATAGATTATCATTTCTGCAATGCAAAAAGTGGACTCTTTTTCTGGACTGGTTCTGGAGCTGCTGAAAGCCAGCAATTATTAAAAGTGGCAAAGGACAGTGAGCACTGGAAGTTCGGAAGCCATGACACATTTTTAGACGCAGAGCCAGGGGAGTCAGAGAGCGAGTGAGTGTAGTATGATGAGGGGTTCTAAGATGTTATATTACAGTGTCACGCGTTTTTGTCAAGCTAAAACATAATTTGAGATCGTATGGTTTTAGTAGTCTAAATCATTTTTCAGACCGTTTTAGATTTAGTGTACGTGGTACGATTTCCAGAAAAATGTTAACCTGTTCATGTTAATTAGAACCTGTTCTATTATAATATATTTATATTAAATCTATTCTATTTATTTTATGTATGTAGATATTTAGAGCAGTGTTGGCCTAGCGGCTTCACCGTGCGACTCTCAACCCTAAGGCCGTAGGTTCGAACGCCGGCTATACACCAGAGGAGTTTATATGTGCGAATATATAACACGCTCGTACGGTGAAAGAACACAGGTAGAAAATCCGTTTCCTTACAGACAAAAAGTCGACAAGTATGGCTACAGAAGGTCGATCACCTACTTGCATATTAGAAGAAACAAATTATCACGTAGATACAGAAATCAGCCGGCCCAGACCAAAAAGGTTGTAGCAGCACTAGTTTTTTTTAATCTCCGGCACCCTCATAAATATTTTAATTAGCATAATATTTAATAGTCTGTGGTTAACCCAGGCACAGTACAGTTTAATAAAACAACAGATTAAAAATATAATTTATTTAACACCTAAGTCTAATTGTCTCTATGGCATTGCACTAACTATTAATGATTACACCGGTTTGGTCATTCTATAGAACTATATATTGTACACTTGGTAATTATGAAAACTATGTACGCTGTCATACGGAACGTAGTCGATTCAGAGTGGTCCATTATCACAAATGGTGGAATAATAATACAAAAAACATTCAATACAACGAGGATATGTTAGCAATTGATTTTTGAAAATAGGTCTTCAAGCATCAAATTAAAATTAATTTGCAACTAACTCGTTTAAATATTTACTAAATTGCATGTGTTAATGGATAACTCTGAGTACGACTGTTAAGGGCCTACTTATATCAACATTTCTTAAGACATCGTAAAATCCTTTGTAACCATATCTCATTGTGAAGACTCGCTAACATTCGTATGTAGGCCAATAACGTACACCAATATAATAATTTTAAATGGCCAATGGCCCTATTTCACAATTAAAACGAGACAGAACAGAGTTATCCATAAGCCATTTTGTACATGTTTACATTTTGAATAATTTTACATACGTAAAAATATATATTGTACCATTTAAACATTAACAAAATAAGGAGCTATAGTAGGGCCAATTTAATAAATCACATTTGACACATATTGGTCAATAATTATGTGTTGTTGACGTGACAACGTCTAATAAATAGTTGAACGCTGGCTGCACGCATGGAAAATGTCCCGTTACGCTCATTGTACGCTTGCGCCGCATCTATCTCTCTTCCACTCGATTTGCCTATGCGTCCGAGGATTCACTCTTTTGTATCCATACAAAATAGTGATAATTCAATAAAAATTATACAATAGATATTCATAAAAGTATGCAATAATTTCATCAAAGTTTTGTTGTCACGTTAAACATCGTCCGTAAACCGACTTTACAGACGACCATTTTTTAATGCACAATTTCTAAACGTTTTCCATTCCGATTACATGTTCATTGTAATAATGAAAATAGAAGGTAATTTTACGATTTACTTCCCCTTATAATTCTTACATAACAATATTTGGTTTTCAAGAGAACTGAACGCCGTTACAATGTTGCGTCAATGGATCGTTTTTTCATTTGAACTATGGCATATTACCAAAGTTCTAAAGTTGATTAGTAGAATCGAATTCAATGGTTACTTGTAAAGGAATACATGAATAACATTGTAATTATAACAAAACATAATCCTTTTAATTTACTTTAAAATACAAAATAACTTGGTAGACACCTAGAAGTAATAATAATAATAATGTACTGCTTCAAACCCTAAATGGGTCTTGGACACGGATTGCATCCGTTTAATAATAAAAGGGTGCGTGTACTTATGTACGCGCGTAAGAAGTTATACTTCTTTGGCATTATTAAATATAGTTTTTTATTAACATGCAAATAATTAATTACAATTAAATAATGAAAGACTGGAAAAGGAGTCATTATAGTCAATAGAGTTCAGTTTACATTTGAAAAATTAAATAAATAAATATTTATTATTATTCTCCTACATTTGTAACATAAATTCTATTATTATTCGAATGTTGTTTTTAAATTATGTCCAATGCCGTAGCATCTTCCGTGGGCAACTTCATTCTGTTAATTTTGTGTCACGGTGCGCGCGCATCGTAAAATTTCACTCTCATCAATTTTTCATGACGCGCCTAAAGAAGTATAACTTCAATAATAAAAACTATATTAATGAAAAATAGGTTGTGACAAAATTCATCTATCGATAGTCCTCACACTAGGGAGTCCCTGTGTTGTGGGTAACTAGATAAAAAATATTCCATGGTACATATCTAAAACAGTTTTTTTTAACCTATTTTTTCATAGACAAGTAAGTGATTAGCTTAATGTCAAACCGTACTACACACCGTACTACCGTGACAGAAAGTCCATTGGTGCACGAGCCGAGGATCAAACCTACGACCTCAGGGATGAGAGTCGCAGGCTGAAGTCACAAGACTCTTACTGAAATCTATAAGTACTTTTTCATTACTGAATTTGAATATGTTTGAAATCCGTATCGATTTTTAATCAGTCTTTATCGACACTTTAATCGGTTTTAAACAGGTCACCTCACTACGACGCCAACTGACAGATGTCAAATGTGATCTGTTAAATTGGCCCTATTGTAAAAATGGAATACATTTATTTATAACAACGTTAAGACAACCCTATTGTGTTAAGCATATAATCGCATAACAACTTGTATGAAAAATGCTGTTTATTTAATGATTGTGACTTGCCGCGTTTATTTTTATCACTTACAATATATATATTATCCATAGTTTACGCTTATTGCATTCACAATAAAGTTGCTTATAATATAAAACCAATATCTTAAACAGCCCAAAATTGTACAAATATTTGTGATAACATAATCTCGAAGGCAAATTTGTCGAATTAATTGCACTAATCATGGCTTTTATATAATTTTAAACCATTTTAGAAAAAAACTTGACATTAAAAATGGCGGCAACTTGCCAGTTCTTTTTATTCTACGCATTTCAAACTGACTTTAGTTTGATTTCATTCATCAATATAATTTACCAGAATTAAAACACTGATCTTCATTTGTATGACGCTTAAACAGAGTTTGAAATAAACAAGAGATTTGGGTTTAAATATATATAAATTATTTTTGTATAAGCGAGACCGTTGATTTTTATATACCAAAAATATTTAGTGTTTCCATAGAAAATTTTAAGTTCTCTAGAGTGATCTGCAATTCAAAATTGCGACCGTTTTTTCTCATACAGAGTATTTAACTTAAAATACCGGCATTTATAATAAGAATGTTGCAAGTTTTTTTGTAAATTGGTCTTCTGTGTAAAAACAGCCATGAATAACGCTTCAAAACTAGGAACAAAACCTAATACCCATATAAAACACAACACCTATTAGTATATAACATTAAAAATATTGTACTAAAATCTGTCCAACATAAAGTTTTCTTAAAGCTTAGAGATTGTTTAAACAAAAAAAAATATTCTTAAGCTAGAAAAGTTTTTGTCTCGCTCATATGTTAAAGTATCACGAGGAGAAAAGATATTGTTTATGTTTCTAAATAAACTATTTATGTTTCTATACAATGGAAAAGTTTAAAGTTAAGTTGAAAGTGCTGTTGATTTTTTTTATAGAATAGGGGGCGAGCGAGCAGGACGCAAATCTGTCACTAAACCTCACTCGATGCTAGAGGGTTCGTGAGTGCGTTGCCAGCATTTTAAGAATTGGTCCTCCCTTTTGTTAAGGGACCTTAAGTCAAAATGGTTTGGAAACATTCCAGTGGTCAGCTGGTTCCAGTGGTGGTGCGCGGCAAATTCTGCCGCTCAGTTGTGAAACCTCGGACGACGAGGTGATACGGGTAGAATTTCGATTCTGCCTCGATGTCCGATGATGAAACTCAGCTGCAGGTATATGGTGCAAAGAGACCCAAGGGATTGGTCCACGACGATTCAAACCGCTCTTCATTGAATACTGTCAAGTGTAAGGAGCTGGTACTGGGAGCTCCCGCTCAGAGGTGTGAACAGTACTTTATGTCCCCCACACGAATTGTACTAGTGCTGACGTTTTGACACAAAATATACGAAACATATAATAAATCATAAAATCTATACAATTATCAATCAACTATTAAATGCTGAAAATGGAAGTCGACGCATGAACCGGAAGGATCCAAGTCCCGTTGCTAAGCTAGCTTTCGACTGGAATTCTCAAAAAAGGGGCCGCCCAAATAAATAGCCTGGCAAGAAAGCATCATTGGAGACGAAAGAAGCTGGAATGACCTGGAGTGAACTAAAAAGAGCTGTCCAAGATCGAAGTATGTCAAGTATCAACAATTTTAGTAAAAAGATAATCTAACTGTTCCAATTAATGTTCAAACGTCAAATTTTGAGTTTAAACAATCTCTCTCACAACAACCTTAATTATAAACGTACACCTCAAAGATGGTTTCATCTCTTTTATTTATTTGCAAACTGATAGAAACAAAACGTGGTATATTTAGTACGTTTTCTCTTTTGATCTTAAGTATCTCTTAACAGCCTTATTCATAAACGTAAACCTTAAAGATAGTTTCTTCTCTTTTATTTATTTGAAAAGTGATATGAGTACGATGAAGACAAAACATGTATTTACATTTATGAATAAGGGAAAAAGTTTTGACTAAATATCTAGAATAATATATATTTTTGTGACGTAAAGGTGGGATTTCAGAAGCGAATTAAATAGAGAGCTAAGTCTATTTTGTTTGTCAGTTTTTTTATATATTGCACTTTTATAGTCAAAAAAACTGTAAGTGGGGAGACAAATGTCGATGTTAATAGATTTTATAAGTATAGTAGAGTAAGAGAGACACAATGCATTTAATATTATGAAGTATTATTTTGCTTGTTTGTTTTCCCACTTAAGTTTTACGATTTATTTATACTATGCATACAATAAAACATAAACAGATATAATAAATATTAACCTTAATTCAGTTATTTTTCATACATATACATGTCAAAATTTCGTCGGATTTAAATTAACAAAGCTTACTACAAAGCTTACTAGTTGAAATGTAAAAGGTATACATGATTAAATCCGAAACAATATATCAGGTACTCTAACTATAAGTACGCATAGTAAGTACGTCTTTTATTGTCTATGTTCCTACAGCACAAAATATTTCCATCTCAATCTATTGTAAGCTGATAAAAAGAGACAAGGTCAAGCATCGATTAAGCTAAAATACAATTCCTAAAAATCGTGAATAAATACTACTTTTAGCTATATAATCCAAATCTATATTATATAAATATTGTACCCAAAATCTAATCGCTACTATTTCCAATAGAAATACATACGCATACGCACAAATACTCGTACGCGTACGGTTCCACCAAGCTTTATCCTTGCTTCCAATATCTTGCCAAATTACGTGATAGATTGTTATCGGCACGTAATGTTATGAACTTAATACATAATATTATTATAATTGGTAAAATTATTGTATGTAATTTAATTAATTAATACCATAGATCCTTACAATTAACCTTTAATGCATGTATTATTGTAAAAGTAGACGCACGCGCATTTTAAAAGTGCTATGAATTTGATACATGACGTAATACGTGCATCAAAAATTAAAAAAGCTTATCGCGCGGATACGAGCAAAATCGATATAAAATAAATCAGACTATTGTACCATTTTACTTAAAGTACTCTTCTGTCTTTCTTCATCACAGTGTACACAATTCGACAGAAAGAGACGAAAGACTTTAAGTAAAAAATATTGTTTTTAGTTATTTATAAAATATAAGGTATTTCGCCAAGCACGTAAAAGAGAAAAGGGGAGGAAAGGGCATATTTTTACAATAACATCACATTTTGGTAACGTTGTAATAAAATCTCTAAACTCACGTATACTTACATACATAAATATTTTAAAAGCGCTTATCATTTGAAATAAAACAGCCACTACGATGGAAGTAATTTGACAGCTCTTGAAACTAGGTTTAAATTGTTCTAAAATACGACACCATACGCGCATTAGTGCATATATATCTATGTACAACAGTTTGAAATATCCAGCTAATATGGCAAATTAATTGGCAATACATAAGAATCGCTTTTACATTAATAATCCAATTTGAAATAAAAAATATAATTTTACCCGTCCCCGTTCTTGCGTCTCATTGTCGGTGACAGATAAGTTTTTAGTCAGTCAATGCTCAAGTCGTTTGAGAAATGGCGGGAAAGCTTTGCCACATCAAGCCCTGTGAAATCTGTGAATACGTCCGTGTTAACCGTACTACCGGACGCCTCTGAACATGGGTCTATGGACACTAGTTGGTCTTCCTTACTGCTCACTTCAAAGGGATCAGAGATGCCTGAAAAAAGTTTTAGCAAATTCAGAAAAAAGACGAATGTGTTAACCTAAAAAGCATATATGATTTAAAAAATTCGTTTTACGGACTATGTTATATTTTACGTGACAACGTCATAACAAAACATTCAATTCAATTCAAAATCATTTATAGGTAAACAATGAACACTTATGAACGTCAAAATTATATATATATATATATATATATATATATATATATATATGAAATGCTTCTAATTTTAATTTTACTGCCACTTCTCAAAGGCGTAGAACGGAAGAGAAGAACTGGCAATAAACTCTACGCCATTTTTTTGAAGTTATACTTCTTTAGGCGCGTTATGAAAAATTTATGAGAGTGAAATTTTACGATGCGCGCGCACCGTGACACAAAATTATCAGTATGGGCGCCGAGCGTGCGCGAGCGAGATGGGAATAAGACAATCTACAAGTAAAAAGAAATAGAATATGCGTGACGTTAGCAGCTATGCCAAGAATTTTGAATGACCATAATGACATTATTGTAAACAAATAAAGGAGTTTTAATTATTTTTTCAAAGAAATTTAGCAATGCTTTTTTACAAAGACCTATTGTTACTTAGTTAAAAGGTTATGAAACCTACCTAGTTGAAGTTATACTTCTTTAGGCGCGTTATGAAAAATTTATGAGAGTGAAATTTTACAATGCGCGCGCACCCGTGACACAAAATTAGGAGTGTGATTATAGCGTGCGCGAGCGAGATAGGAATAAGACAATCTACAAGTAAAAAGAAATAGAATATGCGTGAAGTTCGTATGCCAACAATTTTGAATGACCATAATGACATTTGTCATTTACCTTTTAAACAAATAAAGGAGTTTTAATTATTTTTTCAAAGAAATTTAGCGATGCTTTTTGAATTATAATCAGAAGTGATTTAAATTGAATATTTAAACCAATACTAATTAATATTTGTGAAAAAACTGTGCTCATCAACCTTCCTAAGTGCTTCAATACAATTGAGGTTAACTATCCGTATGTATTATTATTATTATCGAGTAATGTTTTGATTAAAAAATTAACCACATTGTTTAATCAAAACATGTAATTTTTCTGATTTTATCTAGCAAATATAAGGAAAAGAGACAAAAAACAATTGATGAATCAGTGTAACTGCACTAAATTGAATACAAAAAAAGAGTTTTCATCTTATCGCTGTGAAACATCAAAAACTGGAGGTGGAACAAAGCCTAACTATTTTTAATATTGCCAAAGAAGTATAACTTCTTACGCGCGTACATAAGTACACGGACCCTTTTTTTTTATTAAATTGAATTAATAATATAAAAAAATAATAAATAATAATTATTATTAACATTAATTAATAATTGAATAATATACTAAATATTAAATATTGTTAAATTATTAACGCTAAATATTTATTATTAATTATTTAATATTAAAAAAAAAATAAAGAAAGCCAAAGAAGTATAACTTCTTACGCGCGTACATAAGTACACGCACCATTTTTTTTTTGGCCAAGTTTTTTGTTTTACTTAACGTTTGTAAGGAGCTGCAACCATTACACCATGTTCCACAAGATTTGTCCTGCATCAGCAGGAGGCATGGCGAAATAGGAGCGCGTACTTACAGTCTCGTGGGAACAACACGCAAATATATAGCCGAAATAACTAACATCACCGCATACACGAATTCAAGTACGACCAATCAATTCATCAATGTGGTATTGATGAAATGATCGCATACTGTTATGAATAAAATTAAATCATTTTTATTGAATTATCACTATTTAGTATGGATAAAAAGAAGGAGTGTATCCTCGGACGCATAGGCCAATCTAGTGGAAGAGAGATAGATATTAGAGATACGCTTGCGGCGCAAGACTACAATGAGCGTAACGGGACAATGAGTCATGCTTATTCGTGCGTGCAGCCCGCATTCATAGATTTATTAGAAGTTGTCACGTCAAATTTTTGGGTTTCGACCAGTCTCATTTCTGCATCTCATCGAGTTATTCTTATATTTTTGTTTTTAAAGAAACTGTTTTGAGTTTAACTTACCTAAAACACTCTTGACATCATTGCTCGGTTGGCTGAAGTATATGAATCTGTAGAATCCCGGAGTTCTAACCCCACTGCCAACGGGAAAACTTAACGTTATAGTACGTGACTCTCCAGCGACGTGAGGCGTTTCTTGAACACCCACTTTGCTCACATAGTCATATGTTATGTAGTCGTCTAGACTATGGAAATTCGCCTAAAATAAAAAAAAGGTTAGTAAAAAGTGACCGTTTAAACCCCGGCTGTCTGAGATAAGGGCATTATACAAAAACATTTCATAATGAAATGTTTCCGTTCTCAAGTCTTTTTTTTGACATCACGTAAACGAACAGTAATCAAATCAAATTTATTGTGATACTTACATCAAAAATACCAATCCAATCACCCTGGTTGATCTCGACGTCATGAGACAAAGTGCACTCCGTCCTAAAGTCCGCGTCACCGATGTACCATATACGAGATATTGGCGCAAACTCCACGGTTTTCTCCGTGTAATCCGCGAAACTCTGAAAATTATAATAATACATTAGAAGACCATTTGATATATTGAATTTGTTTATTTTAGTGTTGGGGCAGCATTTGTGATCACGCAAGTTTTGCATTACTAAATCGCCACGATTCAAATTTAACGGTCAAACTCAAAATTAAAAATAAAGTGGAACTTTCATAAAGAAACGTTGTGTAACAACCTTTTAGGTTTGACCCTCAGATTTCTGTATCTGATTCGAGATCATTTGATTTCTAATAGGCGAATAGGTAATCAGCCTTCTGTGCCATGCGACATTGCCCATTTTCTAACGATGTTTTAGTTCAGTAAACCAGCAGCACACATCAGAGTGTGAAATGCTCACATAGACCGAGAGTCTATTGATGTACAGACGGGGTTCGGAGTATGACCTCAGGAAGGAATTACACGCTAAAGCTACACTGCTCGGAACCAGAGTATTTAGCATTATTATCCTGCTATTTGTGTGGACACAAAAACCGGAGTAGGATGAGACTATAAAGTCTTCAAAACTCCGTGAAATCAAGGTCTAACCGAAAAAATAAAAACTTTACCATAACGAGAAATCTATTGGAACTAATTTGGAAAAAATAACGAACTATCTGTCGGAAATAAAGTCTGGAAGAGTGCTCTCTATGAATGTGTCAAACGTCATAACAATTTGCTTTGTCTATGACTATACTTAGTGTTGCCATAATCATAGTAAATTTAACACACCACAGACTTTTTATTTTATTAATCGCGCTTTAATTCTTAGGAACTTTAAAAAAATATATTACTTTCATAAATCAACTAACCAAATCTTTCTAAGTATTGATGATAAAATCTCTGACGTAATCGGATAAACTTAACAAAATAACAAGGTATTTAAAGACATGCGTCATTAATAAAAGCTAAAATGCAAAATAAAAGCGTGCATCACCTCTTCCGCAGAATCGACTACATCCGATGTACTGCTGGGCTCAATGTCTGCATCCGTTTCTAAATCACCAGCTTCATCATTCATGGGCATTACTAAAGCTGAACGCATGCGTATAGACGACCTAGACACTTTGGTCTCAGGTTCTTCAGCTAACACCGTACGAGGGAATGTCTGACGTACCTACCGTGCAAGGGTTAGGGCATAAGCATGGAGAGTACAAATTAAAATTAGTAATCAAGCAATAAAGAACCAAGAATACAGTGGCGCTACAAAGTTTAATATATGGCTCTTGAACTTTTGTATCTGTTTTGTGATCATTTGTTTTTCTTGTTAGGCAAATAGGTAAGTAAGGCGTCTAGAAATGAAAAGAAAAGAAAAACTTTATTGCACATAATAAAAAAGGACGTTTAATTAAAATAGAAAGGAATCAACACTAGAATTGCGTGTCGTCGGCAGCAAGTCTCTTCCATTATATATATATATTAAAGTTATTGAATGAAAACTACTTTACAGAAAATCAACTTAACATTCAACGTGTAGAAAATGAAAAAAACTAATGACTAAATACAATAATTTCTATGAAAAAAAACATTAGACTATCTCATTCCGAATTTAATAAACTCACTACCAGCTGCACTTCTTACTAACAACAAAAAACAAAATTACATTTAAATTAAAAATGTATTACATAAATCAAACAATTATAAATTATGCATAACAAAAAAGTATCCTAATCCCATTAATCTTCATTAAATTAGAATTCTTGTCGAAAACGCGTTTCTTGCATCGGCTATTAGTCCATTGAAATGTTACATGGGCTGAACATTTGATAGAGGACTCATTTTTATTTATCGGACATGTAGCGGTCAGTACAATATTCCAAAAGCTTTACTTATTTATTACAAATTGTTGGAATTGAACAAAAAAATTCTAAAATTTGTTTAAAATAAACGAGAAATAAAGTAAAAATGTTGTTTTGATCGGCTTCACATGAGCATTGCCGAACCCGGTCAGCTTTGGTGCGCTGTAACAGCGTTTCCAATTAACGAAATTTAAAAAAAAAATCTTCGGAAAGAGATCCTCTACAAAATTGTCTTGACATAATTTTTTGATAAAATCAAAAGAAAAAAGTTATTAAGCAAAATAGGTTTTTTTTTCACTTTTTTACTTATAACTTTTTGAATTTTGGATTAATAATAAAAAGTCATACAGACATAATTGTAGGCAAAGCAATTTGATACAAAATATGTCTTAAAATTTTTTTTGTACGATGGATAGTTTAGGCGATATAGCCAAAAACGTGTTTTCACCCCTTTTACCTAGATGGCGGCCGGGGGACAGGGGCGCCAACCCCACAAATTTGGGTTTAAGCTTGTATTAACCCCCCCTACATGCCCCATAAAATTGCGTGCTCTATAAAATGTTCAGTTTGGCCCTCAAATTGTAACATTTCAATGGACTATATATTGTATGGACCGTCGATGTTTCAATTGGTTTGTGACGGTTTCGTAGCGCAAGTTAATGGCTATAATGTGTATGTCATTGGCCTTAATATATAAGTTAATTATTTAAACCTCTTTGACGTACTAATGGACAGAAAAACTGTGTCCAGTTTGTATTTCCACTACACTGTAATAAACTTATATCTATTTCAGATATATAAAATAAATATTAAAAAAAAATCTTGACGTAATAATTTCTACATACCACTTACAAATTAAACTACTGTTGCACAATAAGAATACTTTCCGTTTCATCATAGCACAGGTTTATAAGATGTTGCTTAAGATTGTTAGTGAATGAATGAATAGTGAATTTTTTAGAAATTACTTAAATATGAAACGGTTAAATATGAAGGAGAAAATTGTAAACAATCTTAATTATTGAGTAATTAATAAATTTTAACTTTGAAGGACACCGTAAGTTAAACACATTGTCATTTGTTATAGTGAGATAGCGAATTATCGACATTTGTCTTATTTACAGTTTTAATTCATCGAAGATTGCTTATTATTGACCAAAATACACATTCGAATGAATAATTCTTGAACAAAGTTACTGAGTCGTGACAAAATAAGTTACTTACCGATGAAAGATGTTTGGTTCTTTACGTTCACTATAGCTTTTACAGCCAATTATGCAACAATTCACCACGACTGACACTTTAAATACACCTCTTATAAGGATAAAGTCTTAAAATATGGGTTTGACTTGGGTTTCACCGATTTATCAGTAAGCGGTGAAAACTTGTTTACCACCAAGGGCTCGGTGGTAAACAAATAAAACCCGATACGCAAATAGAGACAGAAAAACTGATACTCTGTTTCGCTCGCACTTAAGTATTTCACGTTAATGCCTTCTCTCTTTAGTTATTATTGTTTTTTTAGAAGCTCATCTAGTTCTATACTTTGTCTACGTAGTGACCAAATAAACGCCATTGCAATGTTACGAACAATTATTGAGTGACAATTTTTAGATGAACGATATCTCAAGAACTTTTCTTTTAATTTTTAAGTTAAAAAGAGGTTAAGTTGTCAAGGAAGGGTGTACTATACCTCCAAGAAAAATAGAGAATCCTAAACACTTAGTTTTTTTTTTTGTATTGAATGTCGCTGTTGGCGTCTCCAGAGGGACTCGAAAGGCCCTAGAGGCTAAGGCCGTGAAGGTATATCTTTAGTCGGGATAACTTCGTTAGCGCGTTTCGGGGTATGACGTCAACGCATTGATTGTAGTGTTATTATTTATTGTTACAAGTCATTCATACAAGTTTCTAGTTTTCATTTAATACCGCTATAATAATTAAATGTAAATATTTAAAATTCTTTTCGCGATGTTTCATAAACCATATGACGTCTACAAAGAACTGTTATACGTATGAGTAGCAAAAACAAATTTCAAGGTGTTAATCGAGTTTTTACGTTCGTGTTCAGGATTACGTGTGAAGAATGGAAAAAATATTAAAGATCTTTTATAAACTTTTTTAGACTAAAGGGTTATTTTGTTAGTTTTCGTGTTTGTTTTTAATCTGAGATCAAAAAAACGATGTTGTCAGTTACCCGATGTTGGTCTTGTTTGGATTATCTATATAAACTTCAGTGGCGCTACAACCTTTACAGGTCTAGACCTCAGATTTCTGCATCTGTATCATGATAATTTGTCAATCAATAGGCAATTCGGTCAGCTTCCTGTGCTTGACACACGCAGTCGACTTTTTGGGTCTCAGGCAGGCGATCACGACGTGTCGCTTTCACCGTTACGTTACGTGTCACGTCACAGTCGCTCGAACGGTGCGATAGACAAACATTCCATTGATGCACAGCCGGGGATCGAACCTACGACTTCAAGGATGAGAGTCGCACACTAAAACCACCACAGCGGTATGTTTGTTCAAAAATTCCCTTTCTAATGATTTGTATTGTCATATTTTTCCGTATAAGCAAACGTATTTTCGGACAGTACTTACATCGGAATCGCATGAGTAATTATGTGGTATCCACAAATTTCTGGAGCGGAAATGATAAAATATAAATATAATGATATCATTTATATCTTCAATATCGCGTATGGGAGCGTTCAAGTATTACGTCACCAAATTTTTGGAGATTATTGACCCCCCATGTAACGCGCCGTAACGTTTTTCTGTATAGTAAAACGTTTCGTGATCAGCTAGTGACTTCGTTACGTAATACTTGAACGCTCCCTAAAGTATTTGCATTATTTATAGAAGGGCTGGAGGACTAATCTGATTTGTATGACGTAACTTAAATTTGATTCGATAAGTAAAACCATACCGGTGTAAGTATTTATAGCAAATCCTATGATGAACTAATAATTCTATGCATTTAAAAAAAGGGCAGGTATTTAGTATATGACTGTTCTTCTCTAATCCATCACTGTACTAAATAGATTTAATATAAATCATTATTCAAACAATTTGTTTAAAAACTGAATCCAAAAATAAAATACACAATACTACAAAAAGGTACATTTTAAAAAACATCCATAAAAATAGATCAAACTTCTACCATGTTCTAGAACTACTTAACCAAGTATATCTTCGTGTGTTGTGTGATAATGTGTGAGTCAGGGTATGTACATAACAGCGAACTGCGGCGATATTTGTTACTCGTTAGTTATTTTTTGCAAAATCCATGCACTGATACAAAAATATGCCTAAAGCCTATATATTTATTATGCCAGAAAATTATGATAACAACAATACATCTTTCAAGCAATTCTACATCCTTGTCACTCTATGCCACATTTAAAATAAATGAAAGAGACAACAAAAAAATTCACTCACCTTCACATTAAATTGTGCTACCACCGGTTTATGGTCACTGACCATGTAATGTGGTACGTGATTATATGATATTAGATCCGCTCTCAAAACTATATTTTCGTAATTATTCGGATTCACCATATATAACACTCGGTCTGTCCATGACGGCTTTCTCCTAAAAATTTTAGTATTTTAATTTAGAATCTCTTTAAAATAAATTATGACTCAAATGCCTCAATGTGAAAAATATTAAAGAACTTTTATATGTACCAATAGCAACGGGCGGCCTCATTGCTAACATGCGATCTCTTCAAGGCGAGTAAGGAAAAATAATTTAGGCGGTTTCTTAGGATATACACACAAACATTTTGCTGCTAGTGTTTACAAAATAATCACAATCTATATATAGTGTAATCTCTTTATAACGTCAATCGTTATATGCAACACTCGATATAACGTAAAAATAGATATAATTTTTGTTTGGGTAACACAAGAACCATACAACATTCACTCCCTATAACGAAAGTAAACTATCTATCTTCTATCTATCTTTCAACCCCCTAAATGTTAAAAGTGGACCACTACATTTTTATTTTTTAGATAAAAGTATGTGTTTTTATTTTTTTATGATACAGCATACAAAATACATACAACCCTTAATTTTAACCCCTCTACGATATGACTTGAACTCTGAGGTTTATACAAAGAAAAATTCACAGAAAAATCTAAAATATTTTCATTTCGAACAGTCTCTGGGGTAGCATAGCAAAATGTTTCATGTTGGTATGTACTAAAAAGGTAGGCTAATGAAAATCACATTAAGGATAACGAAGTTCGCGGGGGCAACTAGTTGTATATATAATTCCCGTTCAATAAGTAAAAGATGAAACAATTGCGTAATACTTACTTAAGATCATATTCATATGTGTTAATAGCATATTTATATGTCGGCGGGAATCGAATCTCCCCCTCACTAAACTCCGAAAACGCTTCACCACTGTCCTTCACAGCAAACAACTGATCGTATTTTAATAGCGATTCGTATTTGTCTTTTTCTATTTTCTGCAATTGTTCAACTATTTCCTCTGGTGTGAGATTGATCTCATCTGGGAATTCCAGGCGGAAATTAAGATCACCTATCCAAAATACATAGCTGAAAGGAGGGAAAGAAATAACTATCATTAATTTAAAGAATTGTTTAGAGCCTAACTGATACCTAATCTGCTGTTTTGCTTAACAATAAAAAAATTACTAGTCAAATCTAAAATTGGAATTGTAATGTTTATATTTTTTATTTACAATACTTGTCATATATTTTAAAAACATAGTTTCAAAAATATACTGTAGATATTACATGTGATGTGGTGAGCTTTTAAAAAATAAATAATAATATAACTGGGAAATCACAGGCTCCTGAAAAACAGTTCTCACTATATCGATATGCCTGGGATTCGTGTTTGTGTAACATGTTTGGCAATACCTAAAAATTATTATAATTACTATCTACTATTAGTGTAAGGAACGAAAAAGACATCCAAATATTTTAAAATTAAATGAAAACTGAATTTTTAAATTGTTTATTTTTTTATTTAGTACACAAAGAATATCCTTGATTGAGGCTATATTATACTAACATAGCAACTAACGAATAGTTCCTAACTCTAACTAAAACTCTGAATATAATCTGAAATAAATAAGTTATTGTATTTCCGAAATTTAAAAATGTAGTGCTAAGCTCAAAAAACACTTTTTTTTTTTTTTTATAGACAATTCACACCAATTGACCTAGTCCCATGCTAAGCTGGTGAAGCTTGTGTTATGGGTACTAGGCAACGGATATACATACATATATAGATAGATAGACATATAAATACATATTTAAACACCCAAGACCTAAGCACAACACCAAATGCTCATCACATCGATGTTCGTCTCAGCCGGGGATCGAACCCGGGACCCATGGATTCGCAGTCAGGAGTACTAACCACTAGACCAATGAGTCGTAAAACTTGTCGTCACTTGTATTCAAAATTAAAATACTTTTTAACTATTGACGTAAAAATTAACAAAGCGAAATGTATAGTCGCACTAATAATGTGTTCATTTGATTGCCACAGATTTTCCTGATATTTTTTTTATATTCGCCGTGTTGATCGCCAAATTATCATTTTGCAAGTGTAACTTCAAATTTTTAAGATGTCTTGAAAGTAGATGAAGCGAGAGTTGTATGTTAGGACCGTGGTCCCTTCGATATAATTTTTGTCAATTTACAAATATTTAATTTCGTTCTATTTTTGTTTAAATTGTTATCTACAGTGCTTCTTGGAAACTTAATCAACACACCTTTAGGTACATACAGATAACTGTATGCAATCATGATAAGAACTGATAAAATTTATCCCTTATTTATAACACCATATTCAAGTAACAATCTATAATTATATTGATAAAATACATCTGTTCCCGTGTCGGAATACCAAGAAAACTATTTAAATACGCGCCAGAAAAACAAACAAAGAATGTTGTGTATCATAAAGCATTAGAATAATAAACACTTTGATTCTGAAATATTTTTTTAGTTAATTATACCAATTCGAAATCAATATTCATAGTTAAGACAGGACAACGTCTGTCGGGTCCGCTAGTAGTAAATAATTTAAGGATACATATTTATTGTATCCTATATATTGTATGACTATCTAGTTTAGTCTAGAATTTCCGTCGTAAGACGTATTTTAATAGGTTACTACTATAACCTATGATGATGAGGGTTGCAGGTGCTAACAAATTTTGTAAAACAATCATGATTTAATAAAATTAAATGATTCTGAAGGAGATCTCGTCTGACGTTCCGACATAAGCGTACACTGAGTTACCTAAATGAACAAATGTTTGATTGTACGTCATTATAACAAACGATATTGGTTTGTTATTTAAAGCTGGCGGCTTCAACAAATTTACACTTTGTGCTTGTGTAGTGTCTGTGAATAAGCGTGAGGCGTGATGTCAAACTGAAATACAATCACAAATACATCATGAAAAGACTGTCCGTCTCTCTCGCGCTCGGTCAAGCTTATGAGTATAAAAGAGACTGTTATTGTTTTGCTTTTGCTACTGTTGATGTTGATCTTTACTATACATGTTGATCTTTTTTCAAACATTACCAGGGCAATCTCGTGAAATAGTGCACAATGTTTTTAATTATTTTAAGCATCTTAATAAAACTGTTTAATGAAAAAATGTTATATTTCATTTGACATCAGATGGGGTTTCTAAGAGGAGTATTGAAAGAATAGTTAGTGAAGTAAAAGTGAAGTGTGTTGAGCTAGATGGAGCTTATGTCGAAAAATGAAAAATTATTTACACAAACTACTCTTTTTTCGTTCTTGGTCGGGCTTAGAACTTTTGGATCCACCCTCGTATGCACATAATATTTATATGTATTTGACACATTTTTATTTATTTACAACCCACCCAACTTTACTAAAACCAGAGTAGACTAAAATATATAGCTTGGCAAAAAAGTCATATTTTTAAACATACTGTATAGTGAAATTGCATTAGTGTGAGTACTGTGAACGCGCCAGCTTTCGATAACCGACCTATAGCTGTTATTGATTCTGTTTAGTGTAAGGTAAAAAAAGATAAAGAAGGAGGAAAACGTAAAAATTTGGCGATAAAGCTATCTAAATTCTAAGTAATAACAAATCTAAAGTGACAAAAACTGGAGCTTATCTTTTTCTTTGAATAATTGATAATGAATTCATCCGTTAATTTTGATTAAAAATGATTATATTATTTTTTTAGTTATGCAATAGAATTGCCTTAAGCAGAATAGGACAGTCTTTAATTTTGATCATAAACAAAAGAAGGTTGTTCCAATGAGATCGACCTAAAACATTTTCCTATTCATAAGGTCATATTCCTCCAGATTACAGTAACATTAATGTATAATACTCACTCGTGATACAAAATATTTGATGTCTCCTGGAGTTCGTAGGTGTGTTCTTGTAAAATAATATTGCAAGCGGTGATTCTATCGGACAGCGCATGTTCGTGGGCTGCCAAATGACTATTTATGAGGCAAAACGAGCACCCATATAAATTAAATCTTACACTAACAGCGCCTTTGTTACCCTGTAATATAAATAAATAAAGATTTGGATGAAGAATTAATAAAAATAAAAAAAATTGTCTCTCCTTGATTCACACTAAAATTGAGATAACTTTATATTTACTAAAAATAATCCTCTTTAGTAATAAAGCATATTTCAGTATATTTATATAAAACTGTCATGAATTATAATACACCTAAACTGTTCACACAGGATTCGAACTATCTGGAATAAAACAATCTGTTTGGTAGTCTTTGATTTTATTAGATTATCTTCTATTACACTTTATAGTTTTTAAAAATGCCTTTATTTGTTTAAGTCAGTTAGACTTTTTTGTGGAAATAGCCATCACTTTAGTATAGACTTTTAGGTATTTTAAAGATCTAAAAAACAGGTACGCTTCTGGGTTAGGTCTATTAAATATCTATGAATACTTTCATAGATATTTAACTGGACTTTTATAATGTTTACAATGTTAAGGAAAATGTATGAGATATTTTTGTTTAATTTTTATAAATTTTGACTATCGCTTTGTAAATTTATTATATAAGAAGTAAAGAGTAAAAGTTAGCTTCTAGCTAGCATCTAGCTTGTCTAATTGTCTAGCTAGATTGCTATATTCCAAAATATTAGTTTTAACCACAAAATATATCTTTCTTTTTATGGATATTGAATCCAGATAAAAAATGCACAAATTAAAATATGAACAAATTTTTTGCAATTTCCACTGAATTCATTATAATTATTTTTATATAGATTATAAATATAGGAATGTAATTTTCAAATAATACATAAACTATAGTATGTATTGGAGAAACTTGATCGTCTGATAGCAGAAAACCAAAAACTAAAAGTGAAAATCTGGTTAAATATAACGGAGGGTTTTGGTCACAACCCCGAAGAAAAGCGAAGAAAAGGACAATAATAAGAATGAAAAAAGGCGTTCCTTGTCTGGGACAAGTAAATGAATTGAGTTGATATAGGTTTAGCCGAAATAAAAATGGGTTGTAGCATTGAATGAAGATTACTTCCCGCCCTAGCCTCTGTTACATTGGTGAAACTTTAGAACTTCATGAGGTAGGATTTTTGATAAAAAATTACTTTTAAAAATAATATTGTATATTTTACTCTGAGTGGCTCTCATATTCAACAAACTACAGTGGAATCTCTATCACTGGAATGTAAAGGGAAATGCAACGATAATTGAAATCCTGTTTTGCCAACATGCAATGGAAAGAAGCATCTTAAAGATGAGAATAAACAAAACAAAAAACGACGGGTTGCACTCCGGGAGTGCCGGCAGAAATGAAAACTTGAATATTAACGTTGTGCATTTTTGATGGTTAGGGAATAATTTTGCACGAATTGCTTTAATTATCAGTATAAAAGTACTATCATTTATGTGATAGAACACAATATTTATTTATTGCGCTATCGTACACAAACATGACAATTTATATTACATTAAATACGCCGTGCCAGCTGTCTACTCTACATCCGTCTTACGAATTTTCGATCAGGTCACGTGTCCTGACGCGAGTTTAATATTTTTTACCCATTCCAAAAAAAAGTGTACAACGCCGCTAGAGAAGTTTTCACTTCAAAAATGTTGACATTCGTAACAAGCAAAATTTACAGATGCACTTATACACTCTCTGAGGCTTAAATTGAAATTGGCAGGTAATATATCTAGCGCGAGATAAAAGATGGACTCTTTAAACAACAAAACGGACTGGATCCACTGGAAAACGATCCGTAAGACGACAGCAGGGAAAAACTGAATGAATGTTGCTAAAGAAAGAAAAATTTAAAAATATGGAGGAGGCTTTTATATGGGCTATACAAATACTAGAAAACTAACCTTAATTTTTGGAACTTATAACAACACAACTAATACTTTTACTAAGAAATTAAACAATTATTTTATGTATGAAGTTAATAATAATGTAGTTTGGTGATAGTCCAGCTCAGATAGCGATTCATACATGTTTCAGAGCTAAGCAGCAATTAGGATATCATATTTTACAACAACTCACCCATAATCCACCAAAACCAGTCTTAGTATACTGAGCCTGTATATCCCTTAGGCGTGTGAGATGTTTCATTTGTGTATAAACAAGTATAACGATGCCTTGCAACCGCATACTTTTAGCGATAACAAATCCTTGTCTGCACAGAATTTTATTAAAAGTTGACGTCCACTGGTCTGTGAATATGCTGTCCATGACCATGTTTTGCGGTTGTGACTTTACTTCTTGTAACCTAAAATAAATTGCCGATATAATCATTTATGTCAGGATAAAATCCTTCTATTGACCTAAAAGTTATTATCAACAATACTAATATAAAGTTAAACAATCAGTTTATAGGAAGTTTTGAGGTGATATTTTTAAATTCTTATAGTTTAAAACAAAACTTAATGTAATGTTATTATGTGTGTAATATTATTATATGTATAATGTTGGTAGCTGATAACTGCTGGCACGATGCTTTCGACCTTTATATCTATGATCATTGTCTTTGCATATATAAAAAGTAAAATCTTATTGACATAGTCACATTCGAAATAAAAACATTCACTTTTCGAGTCAATTAGTTTTTACCTAAACGTGTAATAAATTTATTCTAACAAATTGGTAGCAGAGAGTTTGAAAAAATAATACTACCAAAAAATTTAATACAGAAGATGCGAAGGCCTAAGCCGAGTCATTCTTATTGATATCATAAAAATTTCCAAACATTAAAAGAATTGGGATAAGTTGAAAGCAAGCCAGGTCCATGGATCTTCTACCTTCGTCTGAGTTCTTAAACGTGAAGATTTTCGAAGAATTTGAGGCAAGAAATCAAGAAGAACAAACCACTACTTACGAAGCTTAGTAAGCGTAACTTTAATACTATAAAAACGGTAATAAGAAAGGACACTAGGAGTTTGCTGGAATAAGAAAAGATCAATAAAGATAAACTGAACAAAAACAAAAGCGACTCATCAATATTTGCAAGTCTTAATATCGCTCAAGCATACACTATTAAAAAGTTACTGTGGTGCTGAGACAGTGGATGTTCATCACACATTTGTGGTAGACAAAGCTGTGTTCTCTTCAATTACGACTGCAAATGGGTCACCACAGTTGGCTTCAAAGAAGTATAGAAGTGACATCAAAGAACGAGGTAAAGTATCTGTTACGGACAACGAACAATATAGTTTAGAAAGCTGGTAAACGAAGCTGGCAGCCAGATGTTGGTCCGGTCCCTTTACCACCACGTAGTTTTAGGGTTCGACGTTCGACCAATAAACGGAATATTTATAGATATTCGAGTTTCATTTCGAGAGTACGATCGTGGTTCAGTCATATTAAACACAAAAGCCGATTTGAAAAAAACACCTAATAAGTGCCTAAAAAAATGACGAAATATTAGACAAATGCAAAATAACCCTTTAGAAGACACGAAGATGTTTATACTAACGACATCTTAGAGACAGTGCATACTGATGTAAAAAGTAGAAATAGAATGAAATCAATCAATTTTGGGGTATCAAAATTTTTTGTAATATTTAAATTATTTCTTATCTGCAAATGGAAAAAAGAGGAGACTCACTGCTACTTTCACAACAAAACAAAACAGCATAAATGAGAGAAAAACAGAATCCTATTAGAGTATTAGACAAAGGTTAAACGCCCCACTAAAATTATGGGCTGAAGCAATTGCATCTGTAAATTATTTAGGTAATCGTTGTTCAAAAAAAGTATTAAAAAGTTTCACACCATTTAAAAGTAGATGGGTAAAACACCTGAATGTATTTGGCCGAAAAACATTTGTTTTGAAAAAGAGGTATAAAGGTAATTTTTCCGAAAATGCAAAAGAAGGTGTGTTTCTAGGACACTCTAACTTCTTAAGCAAACAGAGTTTATAAACCAGAATACATTAAAGTTGTGATAAGCAGAGATGTTAGGGTTACAGACATAATGTATTTTGAAAATTGAAATGAAACTTATGACAACCTTGTAAATGAAAGTACGGAAGAGTCTATATCGGAAATACATGATACTCAAAAGAAACATACAAATTTGTATGTAAAAGATTTGTTTGAAAGCAATATCATAGACCATTGTTAGAGCAAGTTGATTATAAAATGATTTTAAAGCACAAAGTAGGTCCTAATAATCAACTCGTAAAGCTAAGTTAGTTGCTCAAGGATTTACTCAGAGTCCAGGAATTGATTTCAATGAAACATGTGCACCCTTTGTAAAACTAAGAAAAATAGGGTCTATGAATAAGCTATGGAAAATTTAAATTTGAAGCTAAAGAATTTCACAACTGCATATCGTCACAGAACTTTAGATGATAAATTACACATGAAATTTCCAAATTATATAGAAACTTATTTGAGAGAAATCATGGTTAATGTTAAAGAAAACTATGAAAGTTTATTTAATAAAACAAAAATTATGATGAATGTAAAACATAAAAAATATAAAAGAAAGTAAAGCTTGCATTGTTTTAAACTCAATATGTGGACTTAAGAAAAATAAATAAAAGACTTGGGAAGGCCAAAACAAACGCTCAGTATGTATATTCACTATAAAGACAATAAAATAAAATTAAACCAAGACGCTTTCATTCCAGACACCTTACAGAAATTTAACATGACAGAGGCTTTAATAGCTATGTAAAAAATATCGCCTACACCCCTGGATGCAGATCTTATATTAACAGACTGAATGTTATGAGAAAAGCAGTCTAGCATAATTAAAAATTTATTACTTGGCCATTATCATTAAACTGTTTTCAAACTGAGAATGGTGTCACTTACCCAATAACATAAAAATCTGGTAATGGTTTGTGTTTATTAAACTGCGATGGAAAATCCAATAGGGCATTAAGGTCTTGACTAGGAGACTTAGTTGCAACGTTCCAGGTCACAAAATAAAACCTGAAAGATATGTAAACATTAGAAACATTTTACCTACCTTTTGTATAATATTAAAAATTGAGATCACTAATAATGCTGAATAAAATTGGACTTACTTCAGCGTATTCATTTTGCAATTTTACACAAACCACTTCTAACATTTAACAATTTAGCTTTCGATCACGGATCAATTGATAAGATTAAAGATAACATACGTCCATAAGTTATAGAGCAGGCATGACCATTGAACATATTATTTAGTATTTACACCAGTCACCACCTCAATTACAATTTACACCGTTGAGACTGTCTGCCACAGAGTATGTTAAATGACGGGTGCTGTCCGGACTAAGCTTGGCTCAGACAAATTCACTTTGCGCCAAGCGTGAACCACAAATGCAAAACGAATTTGATTGGAAATTATCAATGGTCATAGGACGCTTCGTTCTTAGCTTATATAACACATACAGTTTTTGCACTGCTGAAAGTTTTAGAAGTTTAGTAGATGACTGTATCAATTACCATTACAATATCCTGGTATCCTGAAAGAACATTTTGTTACTTTTGTTTTGGTTTTTTGTGTTAAATGAAATCTAGTATGGTTTAAACTGATTTTCCTTTGACCTGTATTTTCTTATGGTTGAGGGGTTAATATGACCGAATACTTAATTATTACATGATGCAACAAATAAAATACACACACTAATAGAGATTACTATTACACGTCGGAAATATCTGCGAACCTCGCTGGAATGCGCTTCCCCGCACCCCGCCCCGTTTTCGCCTATCCAGTACCATTGCCAACGCAATCGCCGACGCATGTGTATTATTCTTGCTTTCGTAATCGCATTTTAGTGTTTATTGTTTCTCTGTTTGGTGAAATATTACATAAACTACCTATTTAGTGCTGTATGTAAGATGGGTAGGACTATAATATATCAATAAAAATAAGTACACAAATAAAATATTTTTTATTTTTACATCTTCAATTTTTTTGCTATCTCTCCAGTTTGTATGACGTCATTAAGCCAGGTTCGCAGATATTTCCGACGACTTGTACTACTAGACAAACTATCGGAACTTAATAACGAAGACGGTGATAACTTGAATCCGGATTGTAAAAGGCCGAAGTTATAGTAATTGCTTCCATTTAGCATGTCTTAGGAAGTAATAAAAATGATCTCGCATAAATTTTTTTATATTTTCTCAGAACTTCTGAATTGTGGTTGTCCACGCAATTTCATAGTATTTTAACTTTTATTTGTAATTTCAATCTATAAGACTAAAATTTTACCAAGACCATACTGAATTTGTGTTTTGAATTAAGATATTTCGATTTTTTGTTAACGTTGTCTGTAAATATTATAAGTATTAAGTATACAGTTAGAAAAAAGTTGTCAATATAAACAAACTACAAGTTTATTGTAAACAAATTTAGGAAAAATCCATAATTATTTTAGAATAGACTATATTACATAAGAATATAATATCGAAAACAAACGCAGCCGTTACTTTTTGGCGGGAAAACAAGGCTGTACTGTCAATTTGGCGACGAATGAGTAAATCTGTCATAAGTCATTTAACAATTTCTGTTATTTCGCAGTGTTCTTATAAAGTTTGTTTTGCATTTTATGCTGAGTAAACTAGATTTAAATTTGTTAACAAACTCCGATTACCGGAACAGTGAACAATAACTAAGGTCTCAATATTTATTGTGAGGGTTTTTCATACACCAAATCTTTTGTAACAATTGAAATTTCAATGGCGATTTTGCAATGATACCTACATTTTGTATGGAATATTTTATAAGAAGTTTATTTGGTAAACTGTTACAGATCATGCCGCGAACCACAAGAAGATCCTTTAAAACCTTGCAGCATGCCGCTACAGACACGGAAAATTTAGTTGGCAGACCTTCTAAAAATTTAAAACACCAACTATCTCAAGAGACCCTCATGTGAGAAATATATTTGTATACCTTCATAACTTCGCTCTGATTTCTGTCACATGTGTGCATTTAAAACAAACACTATAACCTCCACATTATTATGAGACATCAGTATTTTTTTTCCTTCATAAAGTTCACAAAAGAGAGTAAACTTTAATGAATTACAATCTAGCATATTCAATAATTATGCCTAAGAAGTAATATTATGTTGACTTAATTTACAATACTAGAATATAGCTTCAACTAAGGTAAATCTTCATTAACAGTCTTAATGTTTAATAATGTTTTGATACTATGTTGGTGTGTCTGAGATACCGCACATGTACTTATATTCACTACACTAGGTATATTAACTCAAAAGATTTAGTTCTCTTTAGGCAAGTCAGTAATAAAAATAACAATTAATTTATTTTCAGAGATTTAGAAGTAAAAAGAAAGAATATTGCTACTAAGGAGGTGCAAGTAGATATTAAAGACAAAGTATCAGTGGATGATCTTACTAACCCTGATGGGGCTTCTGAAAAATATTGGGAAATTTTAGCAGAAAAGCGGCAGTAAGTAAATTTTTATTCTAGTATATCCATGGTCAAGTAATAAAATAAATTTAATACCAATTGCTATTTATATACAAACTAACTAGTCCTATTAAGTTTTGATATTGGATCTTAACCTTATTGACATTTTACATTGCTACAGCAATGCAAATCCTTTATATTTAAACAATATTTCTTGTGAACAATAGCAGTTAAATTATATAATTTAATTTTTTGGTAGACAAGCATTACATGAAGCTTTAGATGAAAATGAAAAGTTAAGAAAAATTATCGATGACTTGAAAGAAGAAAACTCTCAATATATAAAGATGTTGGAAGAAGCCAATAGCTTTGTTGAAGTTATAAAGGTACTGGTTTTTTACAATTGCATTTCTATTTGGATGATATCTTCTGTAATATTTCAGACATCAAAATGTTTATCGCTTACTAGCCCTAACACAACTACTATGTTAAGTCACTTTCAAAATATTTCATTGCAGGAAGAGCTTGCTAATGGTAGCAATAATGACACTGGCATTGATGTGAACGATATCAGTACAGCTGATGAAGCAGCAGATGAAACACAGGAGAGCACTGAAGAAACAAAGACTGAATGATCTTCTCTGAAGCTATCACAAAATAGAGTTAATGTATTTAGTTTCTTTTGTACCTGGTTTTCATATTTTCTCTAAGTAATACAATTTTTCTTCACAATAGATTGCTTTAAGTTACAACCAAAGTTGAGTTTTTTAAGTTGTCAAAAATGCTATTTATTACTTACTACATTTTTCATTAACTTGGTGTACCTACTCTTAACTTAAAATGCATTAAGTTTTCAATGGTCTAATGCTGTTGTAATAAGGAATTTTGTGTTTTAGGAATTGACTTGTTTTTGAAGATATCAATTGTACAAATAAAGACAAAATAAAATAATATTGTTTTTAATATTTATAATATTTTATAACTGCCAAGGATGTCACTTACACCTTTCTATCACAGGAAGACGGAACCTTAGCTATTTTTAAAGCTTATATTGTTCAAATAAGTATACAAATTCTCTTACAAAGAGAGGTTTTTTAAAAATGCCTTAAAGTGTTCATCAAAATTAGTTTCGTAAGTCCAAGGCATTAAGTCTGGATACATAGATATGTCTCTCAATACATCAACATTAACATTTTGTGGCAGAACACTCCTTACTTTTTCATTGATACACCCTGAGGCGTGTATATAATAATTGACTATTAAATTGTATATAAAGTTCACATATTTAAAATCTAAATTATCATCAGTAGTTGGTTCCAAAGGAGTGTATGATTTAATTCTACTTAAATACCCTGTTGTTATTATCGGAACTATAAAGTGAGCCTGCAACAAAAAAAAAGTATAATAATAGGAATGAAGTCTTAATTAAAGCTAGCTAATATATTCAGACTATGGCTACAAATAGTAAGGGTGAGATTCAGAAACAAGACAGTGCAACTTAGGCTCCCAAATGCAATAAATTTATTCCCTATAGGGAGCGATCCGTGAAGCCTGTGAAGTGCCCAGGAGACTTCTGTGCTTCTGGAAGGAGCTAGGCTGGCTGGACTTACTGCACAACGGACCAATTATGAGTCAAAGTACGGGAAATGAGTCCACCAACCATAACCATCCCTATAGGGAGTCAGTCAGATTTAGTGCTGTCTTGTTTCTGAAACTTACCATAACGGTTTCCTAAGTAGTAACTGAAAAGCCATTGACATGATAGACACTGAAAAAAAAAGATTCATAATATACCTTTTCAAAATACTCTCTTATAAACTTTTCTGGATTTTGAACAACCTCTTCTCGTTTACCATTTAATGTTAATACTGTAATTCCAGAAAACTCATCCCAGTTATTAACATAATGTTGAATATTAATGGCTGTATCTAAACCATCTTCTGTATATGTAAGAAATAATGTTGCCTCTACAGTACTTCTTTTATTTACATCAGCCTTTGTTGAAGGCTTGAGGGATGGTTGTTTTGGCTTATCAGCATTTTTAACATATTTCTTGCTTAAAGCTGGTGGCAAATCATTAGGAACATTTTTTGTTAAGCTAATTATTTCTCTTTTTCCAGTATCACTATTACTTTGATATCCACTATCATCTTTTACAAAACACTGTGCCAAATTACACAATGGATCTTCAACTGCTTTTACTATATCATATCTCTTCATTTTTATTAATGCATCTAACACTTTATCTAGTGTTGCAGATTCACTTTGCATGTAGACTTTGAGAATTATGTCAGCTGGATCATCTTTAACAGAATGTGATATGTACTGAAAAATAATATTCTAAAGTCAAATACAAAACAAAGATTAATTTGTTTAAGTCCACTTAATGTGTCTTTTATACTTTTCTTAAGAGTTTGTGAAGATTACTCAGCCTATATTTTACAAGAACCTATTTCTTATAAGCAAAATGTATGAATTACACAAATTTATCTTTAATAAACCTTAGTTTTAGCATACAACTGTGGGAGAACTGATTTAAAGAGTGTTAAGTTAGTAATTTATTTTAACTAATTTTTTTTTAAACTAATAATATACATTTATATTTTGTAAACTTTATCTTGTATTAGTTAAAATAAAGGTTTTGAAATTGAAGCTAGTAATAACTAAGATATCACAACATTATCTTTAAAAATAATTAATTTGTTATAATTCAAATCCGTTAGAGTGGATATAAAAAGAATAACCCTTTTAAATACTTACATCTAAGTCTCCTTGATTGACACCTAAAGCATATCCCAAATCTTTCCATGTATTAGGTGAACCACCTACTTTTTTCACAAGTGTCCTCCATGCTTCGTAACATGTTGAACCCATCTTAGACTTAGGGTTTCTATAGTACAACAGGTTTGTGTGAAGATAGCACACTTTGTCACTTAAACTATTCAATTCTGATATTTCCTGAGTCCTTTCGTCTTTAAGAATCTCTTCCAGAGCCAATGTGTCAATACTAATTGTGTCGGCATTATCCTGGTCTTTAATTGAGTTCCTAAAAGCAAATTAATCATCACGTAAATACCACGTTTCATCCAAATGTTATTATGAACTTTTCATAAATGGTAACAATACTTACATCTTGAGCATGAAGTGTGAATAAATTACGAATTTCTTTGTAACTATTTTTGCAACCATCTAAAAAGTACAGTGAATTTAATTTGTGGTAATTTCTAAATACCTTTTCATAATTTCAAACGTTGAGGAAAAAGATCATATTATTGTGTCAAAGTACTTCAAAAACATATACATATAACAAAATTCGAATGACAACTGACGGAACTATGGTATTGCCAATTTATATATAATAAAACAACACGCGCATTTTAACTTTTAAATATATAAACAAACCTGAGGTCCTTTTCATACATTTCAATCAACAATAACTACAAAATAAAATGGATGGCTATGGATTCGTTTTTTTTCTCTGTATTCTAATATGATCCATAAAAAAAATTTGGCCTAAAGGTCTAGATACCAGGCCATAAACTCCAAAAAAAAAATCCATAAAAAAATTATATTGGTATTCAGAACTTTTGGCGCCTAAATATTAAACAACAAAGATGAAAAGAAACCAATTGTAAGTAAAAATCTTCTGTTCTATTTCTTCTATCTATTGAAAATTCTATATAATATCTATTTAAAAACGGTGGGAACCGTTGCACTCTTTCTTATCTTTTACGTATAAGAATAATTCATAATAACTCGAGTTAAGCCGCGGGCTTATATATTATTTATAATGCTAATCATAAAGGCGAGCTATAAAATATGTTTATATTGTAATTCCTATTATCTTAAAGGTCTAACTTTACCAACGTAATAGACGACGACGACGACGACGAAATAACTGACTCGCAACCTCTTTCATTACCCTCATCAAACAATGTAGAAGTTACAAGTATAGACTCACAGGACGGAACAGCTATTAACTTAAATAGCCCTAAAAGACCCAAGCGAGGTACGGGGCAAAAGGGACACCTTCGAAGTATTGAGGAGATTGGTATATTAATATATTGTACTTTTTGATTTGTACAATTTAAATGACTTTAATTAAATGAATCTTAAAATAATTTAAAAATTTCAGATGAAAAATATCGAGAAGTTTTTAAATATCCTTATTTTAATTTTGTGCAGTCTAGAATTATTGACGATGCTTTATATACAGGTAAGTCTATTTTATAGTACCTATTTTATGTCATTGCCCTAAATAGTTGAAAAATGTTATACTAATTTCCTTTTAGATAAGTCATTGATGATTTGCGCTCCAACGGGATCAGGTAAAACTCTTTTGTTTGAAATGGCCATAGTTCAATTACTAATGGAAATTGAAGAGAAGAAAATTAATCAGGATTTTAAAATAATTTATAGTAAGTCATAAAAATCTTTTTACGTAAGTAGTTAAAATCAAAAAGTTTTCAATTCACTCAATGTTCGTTTCGTTTTCAATGTACCTATAAATGTTCAAATGCACAAAGGTTTGGGTTCAATTCCCATGTGGGGCCAAAAATAATGCAATATTTTTAACAATTAGTTAAGTAAGAACAATGTCGTGCCTCAGACGATTCACTAATTCAGGTATCCCTAGAATAAAACACTTTTTATCCGGGGGATCGTATGTTCCATCCACGGCTGTGCACCATCGGACTTTCTGTCTACGTGCGCATTTAACAGTCGCTCGTACGGTAAAGGAAAACATCGTGAGGATATCGGCATGCCTGAGACCCAAAAAGTCGATGGTATGTGTCAGCCACAGAAGGTTGATCACCTTCTTCTTCTTAAAGTGATCCATCTCCTTGCAAAGGTTGGCGATCATCATGGCTAGTTTAATTTTGGATGCCGCGCTTCTAAACCATCACTTGGTGCTTTGACCTAACCTCCGTTGATCACCTACTTGCCTTAAAAGGTTGTAGCGCCAAGTATATAAGAAGTTAGTCGCCGTAGAGTCCAATAGTAATTAAAATTTTAGTGGCTCCAGTAAAGTCCCTATGTACGGAACGATTAACGGAATGGTATCCAAAGTTTACGAAGCTTGGATTATTGTGTATCGAAGTTACTGGTGATACAGATGTTGACTTTCCACAATTGAAGCCTTATAGGTATGGTAATTGCAATAATAATTTATTTGCAAGAATATGGTATCAAATAAAATAAAATAGTATATATTTAATATTAGTATACGACCTCCGACGGAGTGAGGGCCGAACTAATCCAATTATCTTCGATCTTCGATCTTCGCTACTATTTTCCAATTTCTCAGCTATCTGCTTATTACATCTTCTCAGGTTTCTGGTCCTCTCATTTTTTCACTCTAGGCCATTCCAAGTGAGGGTCTTTTTGACCCATCTGTCTTCACAAACGCAGGCAATGTTTCCGGTCCATTTCCTCTTTTTTGAATGTGTTACGACGTCTATTATGTTTGTAAGGCTTCGTATGACACTGTTTCGAACTTTGTCTTTAATTTTCGAAGAATAAAACGTTCGCTGTACAATATAGACGGTAAAAAAGCAGTGTTGGCTAAGTGGCTTCATAGTTAGGTTGTTCGGTTCGGCGTCATTACTGAGGTCGTTTGTTCTATCCCCGGCTGGCAACCAATGGATTATCCATGTTCGCATCTAACATTCGCTCGTACGGTGAAGAAAAATATCGCGAGGAAACCGGCATTACCCAAATTTAAAATCTATGAAAAAAATTCTTATTTATTTAAAAATAACACTGTTTTAATTATTTTTATAAGCGGTCTGCCCCAGGGGAAAATGTTTTTTTAATATTTAAAGTTCTCGATTAAGGTATCTATACAAATTCTCAGTCTTCGGGACTATCAGTGGTTGGACTGGTCGAGGATTCTCTCTTTAAGTTGGAGGAATACTGCATAGCTCTTCCACTTGTTCATACTACCCAAGGATAACGTTTATAATGATTTTTAAAATCCGGTAGTGTTGGAGTTTATTAGTAACAAATACGATTTATTATATTTATTAATAAATAAAATTATTTTTTTACATTAATAGCGATTAAAATGAGTGGCGAAGGGTTTATTGCCACTTCTTCTTGCCCGCTCTACGCCCTTGACTTGGTAGCAAATGTAAATTTCTAATTAATTTAACATCTTTTCTGTTGACGTTCATAAGTTTACATACCTATATGAATAAAGTTATTTTGCGTTTGAACGTTATTATAGAATAATAATAACGACTCCGGAAAAATGGGATATGCTAACGCGTCGTTGGAAGGACCATACAAATTTAGTTGAAGTTATAAAACTATTTCTCATTGACGAAGTACATATCCTTAATGATGAAGTTCGAGGACCCGTTCTCGAAGCCGTCGTTAGTCGAATGAAAACAATTGAAGTAAGATTCATCTTAAATTAAGCATTCATGTATTTAACACAACGTAGATTATTTACAATCTTAATCTACATATTAAAAATGAATTAAAAGAAAACTGAAAATAATGAGCGGTGCTGGCTTAGTGGCTTCAGCGTGCGACTCTCAGCCCTAAAGTCGTAGGTGCGATCCCCGGCTGTGCACCAATGTGCATTTAACATTCGCTCGAATGGTGAAGGAAAACATCGTTAGGAAACCGGCTTGCCTTTTTCCTATAAAGCCTTGCCTAAAAATAGAAAGTAAGACTAAAAATTACACTTAAATTAGGAATAAAAAAGGGCCATTTTACCTTTTATGTATTGGTCAGGACTTCTCCGCTGTAATAGACAATTGTGAATTTAAAAATATACAGTATTTACTATATTCTTAACCTACATAGTAATAATAATAATAATAATTTTAAATGGTGTCTGTGTACCTTTAATGGCAGCATTTCCTCGCTGTATCGCGATACTTATTCGTTGAGCGAGGAAAGCACCAGCTCCGAGTCACCGGTATTATCCACCAGACGCCAACTTAAATCTTTAGTTAGCGCCTGAGCACTTGAACCCCACGGCCCAAGAGTCTGGTCCAAAGGGAACAAAATCAAAGAGGAAAGACTTATATTTGAGCCGTTTATTATTTTCCGCCTACTCTGCGGCCGTGCTTTTGTAGTTGTCCGAGGGAGGTAGTCCGGGGCTAACGTGTCCACACAAGTAGTATCCTATACAGCCCGTCCCATCCTCCAACAGATCAAAGACATCCCATCCCAAGACAATATTGTTTATAATTATTTTTTGAATATGAAACCATATTAACTTGTTAGAACAGTGTTGGCCTACTAGCTTCAGCGTGCGACTCTCATACCTGAGGTCGTAGGTTCGATCCCCGGCTGTGTACCAATGGACTTTCTTTCTATGTGCGCATTTCACATTTTCTCGAACGGTGAAGGAAAACATCGTGAGGAAACCGACAAGAAGTCGGCGTTATCAGGCACTGAAGGCTGATGAACTACTTGCCTATTAGATTTAAAAAATCATCATGAAACAGATTCAGAAATCAGAGGCCAAAACCTAAAGAGGTTGTAGCGCCACTGATTTATTTTTTATTAACTTGATTCAATTGCTTCAACAACTTTGCATGTCAACGAAATAACTAATTTTAAATAGTCGATCACTGGAGCTTAACTAAAGGTGCGCTTACACGAGGGCAATAATTGCTTGGCGACACGAATGGACCGATCTGGAGCAATTAATGGAGCAATTTCAATAAACTCAATAAATTTCAATAAATTATTTCGGCGATATTGCTTCTAATTGCTCCAGATATTTCATATAGCTCAATGTCGCAGATACGAATTGACGAATTGGATATTGGATACAATGGACTTGGAAATTCCTAGCAATTTTTGTATATATCTCATTCGCACTTGTTTTTTTTGCGGCTTGCCGTCTTGCTTCCGCGGAGAAGGGTTTAAGCACGTTTTGTTGATGCAGAAATTGGTTCTCTCATGTTGGTCGTCTGTTTCGTAATTAATGGGCTAACTTTATTCAAAAATAATTCAAAGTCTGTTCGTGACATTCTAGCAAAGTTTTAAAATAATATATCATCTAATTCTTTACACAATGAAAATTGCGGCCTCTTTGCCAAAAACGATCGCACCCAGATACGCCTATAACTTTTCTTTCTTTTTTGTTTTTGATTAATAATAAAAAAAGCGCTACAAGCCGCCGCAGCAAAAACAATGTCGTCTATTGCGAGCGAATACTGAATTGCTCGTGTAGGACAGTATTGCCTAGTTGATAAAGTTGCGCCATATCGCTCATGATTGTATTGCGCAGTATTGATGCTTGTTGCCGTTGCCGTTAATTGCTTGATGTAGTCGTGACGTCATAGTTGACGAGTATTGACTGGAATTGAGCAATTTTAGTTGCCCGTGTAATCGCACCTTTACATCTGAATATTTCTCTCATTTCTAACTTTCAGTCTTCAGCTAAAGCAGCTCATCGTATAGAGAAACTGCAGAAGCAGTACAATAATATAGTAGATACTGTAGAATCACCAGCTCCTAAAATACGTTTTATAGCCGTATCAGCTACTGTCAGTAACCCTGAAGATGTCGCTACTTGGCTCGGCACCCCGGAACAACCGGCTGTATTTTACAAGTACGTATATTTAAAAGCTTCTATATTATATAAAATAATCTTAGGTCCGACGCCTGAATTGCCTTAAAATCTATAAGATTTGTGTGTTTTCGAGTGCCAAATGTTTTTTGATAGGAACTAAAATTGCATTTTATTTAATTAATATTGCCAGGCGTAAATAAAGTTTGAAAGTATGGATCCTAATTCTTAAAAATAAATAGTTTAATTTATAACTTTCTTAAGACACATATCTTTCAGCCAAATTGTCTTTACGCTGTGATGGAAAAAGTGTACTTTAGTTATAACCGTGCAAATATGTTAATTTATTTTTATGAATGTGGATTCAGTTTCCGCACTTAGACACCCATTTGGCTAAATAGGCCAGTCTAGCTCCTTCCAGAAGGTCAGAAGCTTCCTAAGCACTTCGCAGTTAGCAGGCTATGTAGCCTGCGTATGTATGTACATATATATATTTTTTCCATAATAGGACTAATGCATTTAGGCTAAACATGTCTAGAAATTCTTTCATCTGTTTAAAACCTACGACCTATTAAAGACGAATCTCAGCCTAAGGGTAAGAAATATATTATAATAAATATTTTTTTAAAAATCCGTCGTTCAAACAACTGCGCGTTTCTTAAGGCAATTTCTGCGCGCACCAGTATGTGGAACCAGCTGCCCACTGAAGTATTTCTCAATCAATTCGACTTAGGGTCCTTCAAGAAAAGAGCGTACCATTAAGGTCGGCAGCGTGCTTGCCTGGCAGTGCGAGTGTGAATCAATTAACATCCCATTTGCCCAACATAAAAAAATTACTGCTGACTCCCGAACTTTAAAGTGTATTAGATGTTCACATACAGAAGTCATAGTTGGCGCGACAAAAGTCTAGTTTTTTGTATCTCATCCTAAGTTAACTTAAACTTAATTAGTGGTGAAAAAGATAATGAGCTGTTTAAAATCTCGCCAAGCTAACCAGTTCAAAATTTTAGATTTGGTGACGAATGTCGACCAGTGAAGTTGAACCTAGTGGTCGAAGGATACCCTTGCGCCGAAGGCTCAAGCATATTCAAGTTCGATATTATTCTTAATTATAAACTATGGCCAATCATACAAAAATTTCACAATGGAAAACCCACTTTGGTATGCCCTTTTTCGTTTAAATATTTTTTTTAAAGAAATATCATAGGATCAGTAATTTGAGGTCATAGGAGTATGAGTTGGTGCAGATCGATTTTGCTCTTTAAATTACGTAGGAATCTATATTATAATTTGGCACTCGCATATAAGCTATGCAAAGCTTCGTAACTCCTCAGTATAGCCTTTTTTGCATATATTTTACTAATTAATTAAAATTACTAATTAGTTAAAAATAATAACAACTTGGCTTTACCTACCAGACATTTATACTGTGTCTCAATTTAACAAATTTTCTTTTAAACGCATACTACAAGTAGCGGCACGAAACTCTAGCGCTGACCGTTATTGCGCAGAAGTAAAAAATAAGGTACCTGAGGGGGCTACGGAATGAAGAGTTTCGATTGGCTCTCCAGTCGCATTCCGTCCCCCGCGCGACAGTACACATGCGCAGCAATCCCCTCCACGTATCGGCCAGCGCTAGACTTAAAGGCCTTAAAGGCCCATTTACACGATGCCATTTTCTTGTACATACCAGAGCAATAATTGAATGCAATAAATGAAACGCAATAATTGCCATTCAAGAATTGTATGCAACTGTTTACACTTGAAAACTTGAATGCAATTATTGTATTCAAGTTTTGACAAGGAAATAATTGCACATGCCTTTTGTTTACATCAATGCAACTATTTTAAGGAGATTATTGCTTTCAAGTTTTGACTTGTCTAAACACAGGCTTGTACGTGAGTATACCATTTCATGGCGCTTTCGTTCAAGTATTGCACGTATTTGGGTTGGCAGATTTTTCTTTCAAGTCTTAAATGTTTTAGAAGAGAGTGTTGGAGTTTGAATATGAAAATATTAATGTTATAGTGGAAGGCAACACTTGTCACATGTAAAGAAAAAGTTTTAGTTTAGAATATAAAGAATACCGGTTTGAATTTTATATAAAAATATAGTTTCTGTTTTTGGTTTTCAGTACTTCTATTCTAGACGCGAATAGTGTAACATCTTTGGCTATTTATAAACATAAATTATTGTTTTTTAAAATAGACCCTCACCACCAGAGCTCAGTCTCCTTAAAAGATTAGAACCATCCTACAGATAGGTATGAATATGAGTAAAAAGGTGTTTAAATTCAGTTCTGCTGATATAATAAAGTTAATTGAGATTTATCGCAGTCATGAGTGTTTTATGGGATACCGAAAATGTAAATTATAAGAACCGCGATGCACGTAAGCATTTTCACAGAAATTTGAAGTTGACGGTTTCGGACCGAAGGAAATAACAAACGAAATAAAAAATTTAAGGACGATAAAATTAGAATTTAATTAAAATTTAAGTAAATTCAATTTTGTTTCTGTTCACACGAAACATCTTCTTATAGTCATCTTCATTTTCTGTTTGTAACTCTAAACAAAGATTGTTAGATGCTCCGAGAACCTCTCTTCTTGCTATCCATGTTTTGATCCAACACCTTTTTTACGAGGTTTTCTCAATATTTCTTGCCTCAGAAGATCAGCAACGATCAACACACTCTCACTTACTGCACTCATGTTTGCAAATGAAGAGATAATTGCGTACAAGAATTGCGTAAGAAATTATTGTACGGGCTGTTTACATCGATAATAGTTTTGAAAGGAAACTTTTCACATTCATTAAGAATGTTACGTTTTGTTTAGACCATGCAACTCATTTATTGCGTCGATATAATTGTATGCTACAGGCAAGAAAATGGCATCGTGTAAATGGGCCTTTACGTGCCGCTGCCTATACGTAAGAAAATACCTCCAAATGATATTTTGGAGCTAACTTCCAAATGTTCGTCTTAAAGCAGTGTTAGCATATTGAGTGACTGCAGCGTGCGAATCTCATAACTGAGTGCGTAGGTTCGTGTCCCTGTTTGATTTAAAAACTTCGGAATAAACTTAAAATAAAAAAATAAGAAATCAGTGGCGCTACAACCTCTTTAGGTCTTGGCCTCTGAATCTGTTTCATGATAATTTCTAAATCTAATAGGCAAATAGGTTATCAGCCTCCAGTACCTGACACACACCGTCGAATTTTTGGGTCTAAGACATGTCGGTTGCCTCACGATTTTTTCCTTCACCGTTCGAGCAAATGTTAAATGCGCACATACAAAGTAAGTCCATAGGTGCACAGCCGGGGATCGAACCTACGACCTCAGGTATGAGAGTCGCACGCTGAAGCCACTAGGCCAACACTGTTAAACTTAAAATACATTGTATAAAAACCGGTAACAGATATTCTGCAACACCCGCAAGAGCGTAGCGCTGACCGCTGAAACACTATCCCGTGAGATCACGGTCGGATTCACTAACGAACAGAGGGCAAGGCTTGCGGCTCTAGCTTCTACTATTAAGACTAAAAAAATACAAGTATTTAAATCTTTTTATAAATTAAACATTAGCTTAGAATACATTTTTGTCCATCACTCATTTCTGTCATGGACACCTGGAGGCAAGTACGTTGCAGACAGTTTAATGGATTTTTTTTGTTTTAATATTCCAATTTTGTATGTGAGTATCCAGTGATTTTCGCTGGGAATTAACAGGACTTCTTCGTTGTACGTCAAAAGTTTCTTGCCAAAGTAATACTAATATTCAGTGTATCTAGAATTATGTATTAACTGTTTTAGAAGTATTTAGATTTTTAAGTTGAATTAGTGTTAAGTTATTCCTAGTAGGAGTAGCATAGCATGCTTCAGCCAAATGGGCAGGCACAATCGGCCCAGTACCACTCACAGAAAAGGCTTGAAGTGGTTTGCCTTATTGTACTCGCGTTTCATCTGGTAATAAAGATTCCCAGAAAGAGTCCTTCAATTCTAAAAAGGCCGGCAACCCACTTACGGGCCTTCTGGCAATGTGAGTGTTCATGGGCGGCGGTAACTTAACATCAGGTGAGCCTTCTGCCCATTTGCCTCCTGTTACATTCCTGAAAATACCGTCTAAGTCTAGGTGCCAATAACTAAGGTGTAAAATAGAGGCGATTAAAATTGTAAATAAAATTTGCTAACGAAATTTCCGCAGTCACTTATTTTATCCGGAGTTGGCTGTCATCATGCGGGACTTTTGTATGAGGAGAGGGTCAATATAGAAAATGCATTTAGAAATAAGGATTTGCCAATTCTCATTACGACAACTACTTTAGGTGAGGGAACCTTATATAAAGCCTGGCTTTATAGGACTCGAGTTTTAAAAATTTTGAAAATACACATTCAGTCTTAGCGATGTAGTATTCTAATGGTTTTGAAATTGGCCAAAGTAGTTTTTATTATTTCTGCTGTGTGTTGCTCAGGCATATGCTATCCCGTTTTCGAAAAATTACACCCTTTTTGGTGCCAAAACTTTTTTAATATGTGTTTTGGATAGTATGCCTGGGTAGATGCGCTATCTTTTGTACTGATTTTCTGGACCCATGCATGTATTTTTAAACAACAAAAATTTCATATTTTGCTTATTTTTCTCCTGAGTTCAACCTATTGTGGTGTTAAAATATGTCTATTGCATTGAGATTTCGAAATGAGTTATGTCAATAAAACAAGCAACTCAATTCATCGATTTGTGTAGTTATCCAGGACTTGAATGGCTTCGTGATTTGGATTTTCTATTAACAGCAATGTATTAGCTATAATACTAGTTCTTACTATGCTCAAATAAATGTATTTATTCTACTGTTAGTATTATGGTAGCGCCAATCGAGCTGCAGCACTTTATCGGGAAAGATTTCCTAATGCATGCTTCCCCGAACCTGGTATTTTTCGGAACCACCACAACATCCTTTACCAGCAGGTTCCATATTATGCATTACGTCATACGTCACATCCTGTATAATTGTATATCCGTACATATTATATAACCCCGGCCGCACCCGTCTGTATGTATGAAGGTGAACTCAAAAACTTCCACGTAGATTTCTGCTAAAGGTGCATAATAAACATAGTTTTATGTAAATTGACAGAAATGTAACGGATGAGGTCGCAAAAACAATTTGCCAATATACACTAAATGCGGACAAAGCTAAAGCTAGTAAAGAAACTTGATCAGATAGACCTACAAACCTTATATCTGAACATATCGCTCTTGAATCTGAAAACGTTCGTCAGAACTTAGATTATATGATTCCTAGTTGCTGTTCCGTATTTTGAAATTCCTTCACGTGATACCTTTCACCTTAATCTTCTATAACAGGATATCCTGTTGAAAGTTTTTGGAAAGGATTTAACCAGAATTATGGAGAATTTCTCACAAGACATATATATTTTATATATTTGTGATGTTGACGTGTTTCTTGTTTAAAATCCTTTACCTTACAATGATGTTAGGGCAATCACAATTCTGCATGCTGATCATTTTCTTAGACAAGTAATCTTGCTCAGTCTTTTCCCACCATACTCATACATATACGTTTAAAATGGCTGTGCACCAATGAACTTGACTTCATCTATGCGGTTGTAGCACCCGCTTATACGGTGAAGCAAAATATCGTAAGGAAGCCGGCATGCCTTAGACCAAAAATCAACTAACTGTCCCAGAAACAGAAAGCTCATCATATTTTTAACTGTATATAAAAGTTCCAAGAAAGATTGTAGATTAAAATAAAGTTCAAGATTATACTAGAGTTGTAGTCTAAGTGCTATTGATTTGCATTGTGCTTTATCCTAACATAAATATATAAATAATAAAATATATCCAAATATTTTGTATTATAAGAAGTTTTTTATTGTATAACTAATTCTTTGAACTTAAACCGCCTCATCACCAATTGGTGAGGAAGGAGCAATGTCTGACCGCCGAGCAATATTTGGTCTAAAGTGGAAACTACATACTTCCATAATTTTAGTTATATCTTGTGCTGGTGGTGGAATATATGTTTTGTTAATTGGTTTGTTTTGAAAAAATTAATACGTAGCAAAATTTGTACATTGAACGAAAAAATTTACATTTAATTTCCTTTACATTTTCATACAATTTTATTTACATCATTTGATGTTGTATGTGAAAGTTACCAAACAGCACTCTTGTTAGTTAGCAATTTTGTATATTATTATCTAAACAACTTTTTCAGCAATGGGAGTCAATCTACCAGCTCACTTGGTGATCATAAAAAATACACAACAATACATGAATGGAGCATATCAGGTAGGCTTTTTAATCTTTTATTTTATGTATAAAATTATATTAGGGTTATCTTTTATACACTAAGCCTTTTAAATACGGTTATAAAATATTATTTACGTGAACTACAAAATTGCTATCTTTTTTATTCAATAATGAATACTAAGAGTATATAAAACTTTAAAAATGATATATTAATTATAAAATATTTATAATTGTTCGCTGATACGCAATTGCGATGTATTAGAAGTAAACGCACCTCTTCTAATATAAATTTACGTACCAAATTAGAAAATATCTTTACAAAGTTACTTTTACAGTTTTTTTAGTTTTTTACTTACAAAAATTTATTGATTTAATTCGATTTCGATGAATGAAATATAATAATTATTATTTACGTTCCTCGATTTTTCAAGTGCGTTAGACAATTTCAATTAAATACCCAAAATTTGATTATATTGAAAAAAAAAAATATTTTACAACATACATATTTAAAATAAATGGTGTTCAATAAAACAACATCAAGCCGAATTCGAGTGATAGCCCAGTTTATTAACGCGGCCGAATCGTAAAAAGTCAGTTAAAAAAATTTAAAAAAAAAAAAGGGTGCGTAAATTTTTTTTTTTTTTTTTAAAAAAAAAAATTTAAAAAAATAAAAAAATATTTTTAAAAAAATATTTCCCACCCCCCCCCCCCAAAAATAGACCTGCTTTATGGGACACCTATATATAACCTATGTATAACTCCTTTTAAAATCACAATCTTATATATAAAATTCTCGTGTCACAATGTTAGTAACCATACTCCTCCGAAACGGCTTGACCGATTTTTATCAAATTTTATATGCATATTCAGTAGGTCTGAGAATCGGCTACTATCTATTTTTCATACCCCTAAGTAATAAGGGTAGTCCACCCCTAACATTTTATTTTTATTTTTAGACAATTTTTTTATGATACAGCATACAAAAATACATACAACCCCTAATTTTCACCCCTCTACGTTCAAACCCTATTTTTATTATAGTAGATAGTTATTTTTATTAAACTAAAAAAATGTTTCCTAGAAATAATATAGGTACATGGCAAGACAACGTTTGTCGGGTCAGCTTGTTTTACTATACAATCCTAACAAACTGTAGCAAACTATAATCTTATAGGAGTACAGTATAAGCACAATTCTCCAAATGGTCGGTCGAGCTGGAAGACCGCAGTTTGATACCGAGGCCACTGCTGTTATCATGACGAGAATGGCTGATAAAGTAAGATATTTTATTTATTTTATTTTAAGCCTTATCTTATTTCCTGATACAAAAATATCTAATTATCTCATGTGTTAGTGAATATCTTTTACAGTTAGTAAGTATCAGGAACCCTCTCCTTGGCCTTTACCAATATACTTATATTAACACTTAATTGCACGTAATTAAACAGTGGATATAATACAAATTTACGCTACGAAATGCGGGGTTTTTCCTAATAAATGATTCCATCTCTCTCTTCGGCCGGTAGCTCATGTCTAAGCGTCGTGGTTAGCAAGGAAACATCAGGAGCGGAGTATCTGTTTTCGGTTTCGGTCCCGCACTTCTCTTCCTACAGTTTTGACGATGAGGTTTTGACTTGATCCATCTGATTGATGAACGGTCACGTCTTTTGCCTTCTGTATTGCCAAGCACGATCAGTTTCTCCAACGCTTCTGTATGGCCGATATATGAGATAATTCGTTGTCGGTTGTAATTTGAAAAGTGCAAAAATACTACTCAGTGCCAATATTGCGTAATCTCTTTAATAGACACGAGTTTTCATAATAAGTATGAAACCTAATAAATATTGTAACATTTTTAATGCTTTCTCAAAGCAGCGATTTATTTATGGTGACCCTCTTGGTTAGAGCTAAGCACTCTCTAAAAGATGGACGGAGTCGAATTTTTCAAAAGTTTTATGAACTACAATTTGTATTCGCAGATAATATGTGGAGCGTCATCGCATTTTATATGATATATGCTCGTATAAAATGATTCAAAATGGTAATGGTGTTATTAATTGAACTATTTTATATATGGTTTTGTAAAATAAAACAACAAAATGTAATATGGTACAAAAATTTATTTCTTAAACGTACATATAAAAATAAAACTAATGTACTATCACAATTTAAATTCTGGACAGACCAAACTATCAGTCACAGATCCGGTAACATTGAATTAAGATAATCATTATACATGAAAACTTAATAATATTACTTAGTCATGAAACCCCCTGAACTCAAAATGATTGTTTACTTTTATTTATTTTATATGAAGATTTTTATAAGGTTTGTTTTGAAACACTGAAATCGAGACAAAGATTATAAATCACTTAATAAAAGTTACAATTTATTACTTTTATTAAGTAATTTACTCTTCTCGTAAATAAACGTCAATTTTAAAAGCCAATGCTGTTGTGTTCTTAAGTCTATAAGCGATCTACTTTCCCTTGTTAAAAGGACTGGCATTTTCTTGAAAACTGATTTTCGGTACGAATCCGCTGTCTCCTTCAACGGTGTATTCTACTACCATTAGTCGACCGTCTGGTAACAAAACTCGGTAACCGCCAACCACTTTGCCTTGTGCGTCTCCTGTCTCGTTCGCGCCGAAATATAACTCTTTTTCGGGGTCTTCTACGTCGTATTTATATTCATACTGTAAACAAAAACAAAGTAAGAATTTCGTCAATAAAAATGAAAAAGAAATTAAAGTTTAATTAATTAATGATAATTATGTATTTACAAAACATCAAAAAGGCTATTCTACATTTACTTATGTTGAAGAGGTTTTAGAAATTATTACTATTCATTGTCACATAATGCCTTTGTAAATCGATACCTACCTCACTTTTGTAACAAATATGGTACATATTGTATTGTCTTTGATTGACATAACCTTTAAACATTTAAAGAAAAGACTTTTTAACCGAATTGAAGTTGTGTATTGTTGTGGATTTACAATTGTTTAACATAATTTTAAATTTATCCGACGTTTCGCGTGCTTTACAGCGTGCGTGGTCACGGTGATGGAGACTATGTTAAGTAATTGTAAATTTGTAATGGTGTATGGCTTTGGTCCGGTTGAAGGGTTTTTTCTTTAAGTGATACATATTGTTAGAAACTAATATTTTAATTTTATATAGTGTATTTTCAAATAATTTCATAACACGATGTACATAACTAACTTACTCTAAATTTTCTCGCTAAGTGAATGTAATTCTTTGAGAAATAAAGTATCTTTGAACCTAAATATCTTCTTGATAATTAGATGCTACAGAAGGATAAGTTTTAATGATCAGTGAAGCATATACAGGGACATCTAAGCTTTGCATTACGAAGCTCTAAGTTCAGTCTTATGAGATATTTTTGAAGTAATGTGTATGGATTGACTAACGCTTTATGATTCAAGGGTCAGATCAACAGTTACTCATGCCATAGCCCATTTTATGTATTGGTTTAAAATCTACAAGTCGTAACAGTTACAATTAGTATTTTAAGGAGAAGTGTTCGTTTCGTGATTCATGCGTTAGCTAACTAACACTTGATTATAGGTAGAAGGAAAACATTACCGCTTAGACAAAACTATATACAGAAAGTTGACCTACTTGTATTTAAATAAATAATTAAATCAAACAAATGCAGAATCTCTTAAGACTTGCAGCAGTCAGTCGTTAGAATGAAATGGCGATAAATTTAATCAAGATGGAATTTATTTAATATATATATAATGCAATAGAACTAATGTATAATTTGAAGTCAATAAAAACAAGCGTGTTACTTAAATAACCTGGACTGTTTCCTTAAAGTACTGATTTAACTACATTTTGTTAAAAATAATTAAGTACGTGATTAAGGCAACAGATGTTAGCTCGAATCCAAAGTATATTTTTTGCTATCAAAATAAAGATGAGTACAACAATCTTGTCAAGTCAGCTAACCGTAAAATAATATATATTTTATGCTAAAATAGTCTATTATATTTATACTTCCTTACTTTTTTGGATTATGGCGGTCAAGGTAAAATAAAAACAATATGGCAATATAATTTGACTATTATTACGCATAGTAATAAAGTAATATGTTTTACTAACCACGCATTTAGGATCGAAGGTTATAATATCTTGGGTTCGATTTATAGTAAAATAAAAATTACGGGGTAAAATTATCAAAAAAATGTATCTTGTTTAATTTTTCAATAAAAAAATAAATAAACCGATTATTTCTAAATTGGAAATGTGATTTAAATTAATATTATGTATTTGTAAACATAATCAAAATATAATCTACCAATTTCACCACACATTTCAACCTTGATATTTCACAACACAACTGTCGCAAAACATTGTCTAATTAAAAACATATACATATAATATAATTGAATTAGATTTTTGCGTGATTTTATCACCGCACAAAAGAGGTCGCAATTCCTTCTAATTAATGTTAGTGTTCACATCGTTAGTATAATGGGTGCATTGCTTAGATGGTTGTGATAGTATATATAAGCGGACAAGCGCACCACACCTGATAATTATGGGAAATACGTTTCAGCTGTGAAATATGCGATGTTCTTGTAATTGTGTTTAAGGTTAAGCGATTTAATTGGCTGCTTTGATTACATCTTGCATATCAACACTTTGTAAGTAACTATTATAATCTATACTAGTCTTATGGAATATCAATTATAAAGTATATATTATGTTCTTGTAACTTCGTGTCATTATTTGAGAATTTAAATTTAGATTTCGAACACCCGATGTTTTGATTTAAACGTATAATTTTATTGAAGGTTTCTAAACTTTTTACAAAATAATAATATTCGTAAATGATATCTAAAAAAAATAATTTTGTTAGACAATAACTCGAAACATACATAATTTAAAGTTTATACTCAAATGTCACGAGTTCCTACAAAAGGGTCAATGTTATGAAGATTATATTTTAATTGTTTGTAATGACACGCAACTATTTACCAATTTGTATAAGCAATAACCTTTTCAATATTCAATAATTAATTGTTCTAAGGTAAAAGTAGCTTTTTAGGTACAGTTCAATATTCCACAGTTGTTCTAGTTATCCTAAAGTTGGATAAAAAGTGGTATTTTTATAATGTCATACAAATAAATATAGCATATTTTATTAATTCTGTGATTCATAAAATATTACGCAACACAAATGCTAGCTAGTTTTACATAAATTTTATTGTTTCTTATTTAAATTTTATTAAAAATAAGATTCTTCTTTAAGTTATTAGTCAAATATGTTCAGTATCTTGAAATTAAGATAATGCGCATTATTACGACCTGAAACCTAAACTATAAAAACATATGTTACAACAATTTTATTTACTTTAAAGGTAACTATTAGCAAATGAAAAGTTGTCTACCTTAACCAATTGACCTGCAAGGATGCGCTTGTCTAATAACTCTACAATCGTACCTTTGGCATATCGTATGACTATTAAAATGTCAAATGACATATGGGACACGATCGTAACTTGTGTGCAATTGATGTGTATTTAAATAATTAAATAAATCATAGATTATTCTTACCAGCAGACTTTTTTGATAAATTTTTGTGTATTTCATTATTATACAGAGGAATCTCTATAACTCGAATGTCAAGGGAAATGCAAAAAAAATCGAGTTACCGAGTTTTTGACTTTAACAAGAACTTACATATATGATCTGACTGCTGAAATGGTGACTTACAGAGGCGCGATTTCTTTGTGTATTTTTCGAGTTGTAGTGTTTTCCTTTTTGAAATTCGAGTTATATCAATACATCGGGAAATAACTTACTGGCTGTGGTGGGTATTCCTCCTCAGGCGTAGGCGTAGGTGCAGAGTTCGCGTAACGTACGCTCACACACACTAGCGCAACCACGCACATGAACCATTTTGTCGACGTCATCTGGGAAACAACGAATTACCTTTATATTTATAGTTTTACATCCCAAAATAATCTATCCAATATAGAAATATATTTGATTTGAATATAGAATTTTTATATATATTTTTCGAGTGATACTTTTACTCCTAACTTTATACCACTAACTTCTATTTTTTATAGTTCAATTACATCATGGCTACTGTAAGCAATATTGTTTCATTAATCATTAGTTCCTGAGTTGTATAGTATTTTAAGCTTTGCGTCGGGTTTATTCTACACTAAATACAAAATCATAATGTATCAGGCATGCCTTAAAGATGACAATCATTCAGGGTAGCATAACGGTCAGAGCAGGACCGAATTAATTGGTATCCACCATCGTTTCTCAACCATTTTTATGTCGCGACCCACGAAAAAGCCAAAAAGATTAGAAAACAGACTTCGACCCCCTTTTAAAACAAACTCAACCCCCCCAAGGGTCGCGACCCTCCGCTTGAGAAATGATGTGATACACTATAAAGACCTATGTATCTCCAAAGTAAAACAAACAAGCAATGACAATTGAAATAGGCTCTGTAGGAAAAAGAGAAGATTATTATGTGATGAAAATATCTAAACATTGGTATTTCAATTCGCCTATGCATCGCCTTTTGAATCAGCAAGGAGGAGTTTTACAAGTCTCTTAGAAGATAGTGTTGAAGGTTCCAGTCGTAATTCATCACTTATTGTTTACCTTTCGTGATCAATTACTACGCCGATACGTAATTATATTGTTAACGACGCCTCATTGATGATATTTTTTAATCGTCGGTATTTAATAAGCGGATGTGACAATTATTATAAACGTTATACAAAAATTTAGAATAACAAATGTGGTAGGAAATTTATTATAGAGCAGAGTCGTTCAAGAATAATCCATAAATATTTAACTTCGCCATAAATCGTACTGAGATTATCGTACGGAACTTCTGTGTAATAGGGCATGTAATTTTTTAGTTGCACCAATCTTAAAATATTAGTAAAATGTAATAATTATCAACATTTGTCCTATTAACGCGACATATTTAAAATAAGAAATACATAATTATAAATAACACTTAATATAATTCAAACCTATGAAGGTTTTAATTTAATTACATATATGATATTTTAATGGCTTATTAACTTAATTACCAAGGTATAATAATGACGCAGAAATATTTACAAGTTTTAGTTAGAAAACCTTAATATTACCAAATCTCAAATCTTTGGTTAGAAATAGATATTTTTAATTAATCTAGTATTAACAATTTATGCACTTTAAATTGCGTTTGACCTCAAACTTGACACATAAGATATTTACAAAAAAGCTTTGCTAATACATAATTAATACCTTAGGCCTTGCGTGATCGATTCCTGCGGGAAAAATTACTGTCGTGCAATCTCGCGTGTGAACTGACTTGTGGTGATTTGATACTTTTTGTTCAATTTCATTAGTGGAAGTTGCAATATCGAAAGGAAACGATCAAAGAAAATAAACATTACTTATGCAATTGTATTAAAGCTGGCAACTCGGCAAATTTGGGCTGCCGAATTTTGTTTTTATGTAACAAAAACGCACGTAGTTTTTACAAGTGATAATTGTCTACACAAATAGTCAATCTTCAATTCATATAAATCTGAGGATTACGTTGTTATATATATTTTTTATATATAGAATATAAAAATATAGAATTATATATAAATAAATATAAAATTTTATATAAAAATGTATAATTTTTTAATACGATTATTGTTTTCGCATTTAAACCGTAAAGTTCACATCTAATTAATTAGAGTAACTGATTTTTATAAAGATTTTCCGTAAAACAGAAAACAATTTCTTTTTAATTCGTTTCATATATTTATGTATTAATTGCAATTCTGCGTTGATAGAAACAAATTGTTTATAAAGATTGTCTAAATTGGTAGCTATCAAGATATTAATATTATTTTAAATTTAGAATTATAAAATTGTCCGTGGTCTTACAAGAATGGTCAGGACCCGTGATTGACCTTGTTCAACTTGTGGCCATGCTTGCACGCAATACATAGATCAGTTTTAAATCTATTATAATTTATGGGTATCTTTTAAATGTGTAAATACGTAAACATAATTAATAATTGTATAGTGATATTTACATAGGTAGTGATTAACAGTTGTAATTAAATATGGAACAGGTAACATAGCATTTATGAGACATATTCAGAAATACATATGTATTGATGTATGACTAAGAAAATAACTATATTAGTTACGTTTTCCTCTCAACGTTAGGTTAATAATAATATATTTACTTAATATTAATCTCGTATGTATAGTCTGAAATCAGTGTTCTATTTTTAAAAGACTCTTTCCGACTGAATAACACTGCTTTATATTTCTATTGTCATAACAAAACTACATATATCTTTAATTAAATTTACATTATTACACCGATTGCGTTAATACTATATTTATTTATAGGATTTTCAACAAGGTTACATACAATAGCTTTATTTCCAAAGGCGTTTTAAATAATTCAGAACTCTAGAGCTTCCCGCAATAAAAAATAAGGTGCAAAATACCTGTTTCAGAATGTAATTTTAGCCTGCGAAAACAGTTTGTGGTTTGACGGACCGTGAACTAAACAACAAAAAGAATATTATGAATACGTTTTTGAACCTTGGAGTAGCGTATACGAAGGTTTACTATAATTAAAATTGGACCAGAAAATGCTTTGCCTATCGGTAAAATTCCTGGCAAATAAGTTAGCAACTAGAAGTCGTTTCTTTATATTCGAATTATTAATTTATCATGAGATAATCTCAGATCTACGCCCAAACCCAATAACATATCTCAATCCATAATCCACCATCTGAGATAGTATTCTTAAATGAACTTTTTGCTCCTCAGCATAATGCTGAGCCAGGGCCAATTACAACCACAGTACACACACATTGCACACTGTAAGCGAACCGAATGGCAAAAGAATATTTCTTAATTTTAATTTTTAATTTTTATTGTTTTTGATGTCTTATTTTATTTTATGTTTTCTTTAAGTATTGTTATTTTGTGTGTTTATGTGTGTGTGTTTTTGTTTGTAATAAATGTTTGTCTATGTCTATGTCTAAATGTTAATTCCAAATGTTGTAACAAGTGTGCCAATAACCAATCGACGGATTGTAATAGCCATCTGTCGATACAAGCTATCCATAGAAGGTTGTATCGGTGTCTGTGGATAAACCTTTGTATGAAAATGACAGTTGACGGAAGCTCGATTTCAACAGTTAATAATTTTAACTTACACCAGTTTTTTAAATAATTTATAATATACATGTGTATGTTTGTTTTAAACATACACATGTATATTTTAATGTAATTTGTACAGTTTTATTTACTTTATTTGGTTTACATTGATTATCAAATATGAGTGAAAACTCGGTAAAATGGAACGACATAGAGCATTTTATCCGACGCCAAAAAAGGATTGTCTTCGTGGGGTTTGGTTATTGGGATGCAGATAGGAGATCGATCGAGTGTCACGGTCAGATCTCAGATTGTTTACAATCTGAGTTTGTGGATTAATTATTGCGTTCGGGCGTTAAGGGTATTAGGGTAGCAGCAGTAGTAGGAGTAATAATAGTTACGCACAACAAATGTGTACCTTACTACAAAAAATTACGATTTTCTAATTATTTAAAAATAAATATGTAGGTACATATATCTGAATTAGTTAAACAATATTTTGTCACATTAATTTTCAATATGACCCTTAGCCAATTAAGGCAAATAATGTTTATAGTACGTTATAAATAAATAAGGATAAAGCACGAAAAATATAAGAACAATTAATTTCTTCATTTATAATAATTTGTTAGAACTTTACCAAAGGCACCGCTAATGAAATTAAGATTTTATTCAAAGATTTAAACGATTTATTAATACAAAAATGCATGAAGACTATACACGAGTGCGGATGTAAATGCTATTCACAAGATAACTTCAAGGAACCGAGAATTAGAGAAAAAGTAATGTTTCCTATCTCCTTCACTTTTTTGTTCAGAAATTTGTTGAGGGGCAATTATCAAAAACATTGTAAGATTACTTTATCACTTTATTATACTAACGTCTTTGTTGATGAGCTTTCCTTGCTAAATGTACTATTGAAACGGAAAATTTATTTTTAAATTGCAGCTAAATTCAGTTTTATTAGATAAATATATAAAAAGGAATCATATTATAACAGAGTCAGATTTATGGAAAGCCTTAAATTGGTGGATCAGGTTTTTGTTATTTTGGCAACATACTTCGAAATTTATTATAAAACAATCTGCACGGGCAAGTGATAAGTGCCCGTTTTATCACCCGATTAAGTGATACAACCGCCTATGCACACTTTAAATGCCAGAGAGCTCGCGAGTGCGTTGCCGGTCTTATAATTGGTACGCTCATTTCACATACTGAAAACTAATCTATGAATGTATTTTATATCAGTTACCTAAACTACGCAGTGAAGTATTTTGACGTAAAATGAACTAATATGTAACGATAAACACTGAATGGCTTAAATAATAGTTAATTCTCAATAAACGACTGTAAGTAGTCATGTTTCATAGCCTGTAGCATTTTAAAAGCCTTTTTGTAAAATTATCTAGTAGATTTCAGTTCTAATTGTTTTTTGAAAATTTATTGTAAAAAACCTTCAAAAATATTTTACAATTATTCCGGTATTCACAGGTCACACACTTCGAAAATGAAATATTTAAAAATCTAAGTCACTAATTAATATTTCAATGGCAAACGCAGATAAAAAGATAATCTCGTAATAATGACCCGGTTTCACACATTTTTACTGTGCACCTGGCAACAATCGACTTTCCGTGATGTGCAACATATTACATCCAGAAACGTAAATTAGGTGACTTTATCAATGTCGTTTTAACGCTTTTTTTTATTTGGGATATGAATGAGCGTGAATTCTAATACGATAACTTACCTGAACAAATAAATAATGTTCTGT